GACGGAATATAGGGATTTGGTAGGTTTCCATTCTAAAGGCTTTTTAATAAATATGGCAACATTTTGTGACGTTTCATTGTTGCTGACGCGTAGTGAAGTGTTTTGAGAGTCATGTGAAGGCAACAGAACTTACGTAACGCATACGTTTTTTTAATAGTTTTTCATTTCTCGATGCGTCCTTAAAGTTAATGTGTCGGAATATACCGCGTTTACCCTAGCTTGTTATTTCTCTGCCAACTTGCCAAATTCAACCACCATTAGGTTCCTACTTTACAACTTAGAATAATGATTTGTAGCAATTGAGCAACAAATGTAGCAAAAAATCTACATAAATCTTGGTTGAAAATTCAAAATTTCAGCACAGATTTGTTTCAACAATTAGAATAATTTTGGGGCCAGCAACAGCAAGTTAATGCTAGCAACATTAGTGCCAAATGTCAATTATGATAGTTAAGTTACTGACCTAATGAACTCCTTTGCACTGAGCAGTGATCATAGAACTTCCTCAAACTCAAAGTCAAAACGATTAGGTAAATGGCTTGTCGTCATCTTGCCTGATTTTTGTAGAACTGAAATACAATTGTTATAGGTCAAGTTGTCAACCAGTAAACTTAAATAAAAAATTATCATGACGTAGAATATTGGCCTAAAACGTGGTCTGCAATCTTTGAAATAATTCGCTCCTTCAGAGTACTCACGTGCCTTTCTCGCAGTCGTATATAACAATTTGATCATCATCGCTGGACGACAACAAAAGGTCTCCACTAGGAGAATAGTCAATATTGTTAATTCGATCAGTATTATCTCGAAATAGTTTAACTACACGAAAAGTTTGAACTACCTGATCTATGAGTTTCATGATTCAACACCCACTTAATTGGGTTAATAAAAGAAAGTACAAAGTAATAGTTTATTTCGACCTGGCACATTCAAAGCAGAAGTAGCGGATGCAATTGTTTGAACGTTTCATGCATCCGCACACATAGAAAACGAAAACTTTTTTGAAATCTCAGTTTTGAAAAAATGGCAATGAGCTTATTTTTTCTAATTACTATATGCACTATCGTCATTGCGGAACTTGAATGTTCTCTTGAACTTGAACTTGAATCTGGTGCAAATTGAGGAGATATTGTTTCAAAACAAATTAAGGCAGTGTTTAAAATATTCAGTTGAATTCACATATAGATAATGCAAAAAAATAAAATAGAGAGGAACATGATTAGGATTTAAACAAAATAATTATTGCTGAGTCCAGAGGTGTTGCTAGCGGTCAATGTACGCCTTCTTCTTCTAACCTACAGAGCTACAAACCTTGTTCCACGATTCGCACCCACCGTGTGCGTGTAATCCACACATCCCTGCGGCTTCGCTAATGAATGGCCGAATGCCATGCTTCAGTTTATCAGGCATTCTCATTTAGTTTCGACGCAATTGTACCCAGACAAAAAATTTACAGGAGATCGCCGAAAAGATGAAACTGGTTGATCAAGTCGTGCAGACATTTCGTGTTGCAAAGTTATTCAGAGACAATAATGAGAGAGTGAACAATATTGACTTTTCTCCAAGCGGAGACCTGTTGTTGACATCAAGCGACGATGATCAAATTGTCATTTATGATTGCGAAAAGGGAACGTGAGTCTATAATTTATTCTAACTGCACTACTTTTTAAAAACAATGAGAAATCATTGTTTCATTACAATTCATTTCATTTGGCAATTTTAAATTGGTTCATTTGTAATATATTTAGAAAATAGGCTATGCCTGCTCGGCTCAGTCGGCTGCATAAACTGATAAAGGCTAAGTAGGTACAAGAATAAAGAATTGTATCAAAATTCCGAAGTTTTAAAAAATTTTAGCTCATAGCTAACAATTGTTTCATGGTGCATATCTTATGATAACTAACTGTTAAATCAGGCAGAAGCCATAGGTACCTAGGTAATTTGGACAGAAATGTCTGTAAATCTGGCCCATTTCTGTTGTTTCTAATTTCTATCACCTTTTTTCAATTTTTTTCCAGTACAAAAGTAAGTAAAACAATCTATTTTTATCTAAATTTTACAAAAAATTACTCATGAATCAATAATTTATTCTGTCATTTTTAAGAAACTTCAGTCCAATGTTCTTTATTGGTCATGGTGCAAATAGGTAACCAACCTACAAGTTACTACCATTACTACGCTTCAGGCATGAAATATATCTACTTGGCAAGCTGCAACTGGATTTTTTGAGCCATTTTTTGGATTTTTACGGGATTGCCATTTTTTTGAGCCGTGAATTCCATACCTTGGCCATGAAAAGCCGTCTACAAGCCGCTAACTTATTTACTAAGTCCCATGCAGTGATGCACCATGATGATGCACGTCACAGCACGTGCTATCACAAATCTCCAATTTTACCCTATAAACAATCAAACCAGCAACCCTAACATTTGTTTGTTAAAAACTTAAGTGTCGGAGATGGGGCTGTTGCTGCATTACACTTTGAGGTTTGATGAAATTGATGTTATGGTCAGCTGGTCAAGGACAAGGGTGACACAAAGCTTGCTGAATAGCAAATTTTTGTGTTCCATTATATTTATGAGTGTAATGTACTTATTTCTACTAAAATTTCAGTATTCAGTGCTTCTTGAAGACTTGAAAATAAATGTTGTCACATTAGATACATTGTTAATAAATTAAAATAAATTCCTTGAAACCTTCATTTTTATCAACCAATGTCATCTGAAGAATTGTTAAACCCTGAAAATTTAAATCCATGTGTTCTATTGTCATTAACTGCCCTAGTTTAAACTGACTTATTAGAATTATGAGCTCCAGATTATTATAGTGGTGAAAGCAATATTTAAAATACTTTTGCTGCGCTACATATAAATGACTTGTAATTTTTATATTTTTCTCATTGAAACCTTTCATTTCTGCAGATCAAAAAGAACCCTCAACAGCAAGAAGTATGGTGTTGATCTTATCCATTTTACTCATGGGAAAAATTCTGCTATTTATGCATCAACCAAAATTGATGGCAAGTATTCATCTTATTATCCACGCCTAAGGGTACGCACACAGTGGAAGCAGGTTGCCAGTGTGCTGGTTACCTGCTCAGGCTGGCACCTGAAACCATAGAGCACAGAAGCCTATTCGTACAGGTTTTCACTGTGAACACTTACATTATTATCCTATGTTCATTCTTGTGGCAGGTTGGAGCAGGTTGCCCGCGCGGGCAAACCTGCTTCCACTGTGTGCGTACCCTAAAGATGGAACTATTTTGTTGAGCTTATGAATCAAGTGCTCGGTCATTTTATCCATTCCATGTCTATTTATTTTTCACAGGCTACTAATCTTATGTGTGATGTGCCCTCAAAGTTTGTTTTAACCGGACACCACAATAAATGCTTCGTAGAATAATAATAATAATAATATCCACATTAGTAGAATTGTTTTCTTGATATTGTTTAAAAACATAGAGTTCCTTAAAATTTTTTCTAAAATTGCTAAATGTATATAACTACAGAGTGCCTTTTCCATTCTAAAATCAGTATTAGCACATAGTTCTTCTACATGATGTTTCAAAGTCTCTCAAACTTAGTGCCTAAATCAATATTCCAATTGTTATAAAATCAAAATTAATGTCAGTCTTGAGCATAGTTGCCATGGCTCAAGCTGAGCTAATTTGTATTTCATAAACAAAGTATGTCACTCAGTACAAAACATTTAAGAGTTCAGGAGGAAGTCTCTGAATAACCTCTGATTTCAAAGCAAAAGCGTGATCTCTATTTTAATTCTTCTTCAACAGATACTATCCGATACCTGTCCCTCCACGATAACAAATTCATCCGATACTTCCATGGACATACTAAGAGGTAAGATTTACATGTGCTTAAGCTGTAGAATCAATGGTTAGTTGCTTATTTATTCATGCATTTGATGACTTTCTAAATTGAAGTGCCTAGAGGTGAACTTTGAAATTAACTTAATTAATGAAAAAAACTCTTCCATGAATGGGAGAAAATTTGTACAGATCATCCATTAGCCTGACATTATACTGCCTTTGTCCTATGTGTTAGCAAGTAAGAAAGAGTATTTTGTAATTGTATTTAAATAATATTCGATAGTCATGAAACTTATGATATTACATAAATGACTCGTCTCCTGCAGAGTTGGTACCCTGAGCATGAGCCCCATTGATGACACCTTCATCTCTGGTTCTGCAGACAAGACACTCCGATTATGGGACTTGCGCTCTCCAAATTGCCAAGGAACAATGCATGCTGGAGGACGACCTGTTGCTGCTTTTGATCCTGAAGGTCTAATATTTGCTGCTGGCATCAATTCTGAAACAGTGAAACTTTATGATCTCAGGTGCTTTTCTCATTTGCTGTTAGTCATTTATTTTAATTTTGTAGTAAGTATTTATAATTTTCTCCAATTAGTACCTGATTTTTTCTTAAATTCATTAGTTTTTTTAACACTGAAATTATTTTTTATTTCTATTATGAAAGTACTCCTGCAATTTGTTTGATACAGTTTAGTGTAAATTTGGTTTTGTAGGTTTGCAGTTTATTGTAGCTTAGTTCAATTTTATTAAATATTCCTTCTTGCTAGGAGGCCTAATTGTTAAGCAGAACTATCAACTCTTGTGTTTTATAGTTTTATTTAGCCTATGCTTGAGTTCTTGCCTGCTGTTAAATTCAGATTTCTGAACTCCAGCGATGATGACACCAGAAATTAAATTTACAGTCACTTATGTAATCTTTCTTTACCATAAAAATGACTATTTGGCAAGCCTGTCTTTCATGCAACTAACTGGCTTTCTTTTTACATGTATATTCTAAGATCCATTTAACAGTAAGCCTCGCAACATTTTCCTTCACAATGCGCTGTCTAAATATTTTGTTTGTGTATTAAAACCGGTCACTCATTCCCAAAGGGTTTGTACTAAATTTTCAAGTAGGTACGAAATGAGTTTACTTGCCCATCAATATCATGCCTTTAAAATGATCTAACATCTCATTTATAATAATGATAGTTTTCTATCTCATGTGGAAAGAATTTACCTACTCTACATAAATGTGCTTGTTAATCTAGTGTTCTGGTCACACTTGTATGTTTCAGATCGTTTTTCAAAGGACCTTTTAGCACTTTTGAACTTAATCAAGAGAAAGAATGTGATTGGACTGGTCTCAAATTTAGCCCTGATGGAAAAACAATCTTGGTATCTACTAATGGATCAGTGATTCGTCTTGTGGATGCTTTTGCTGGAACTCCTTTGAAAACATTTACGGTAAGTCATGCTAGAATTTAAGCTTCTTTATTACAACACTTCTGTCTGTCTGTCTGCTACAAATCTTATAATTGATATTTAACACACTTCTGCCTGTCCAATCGATCTGAAATTCGGCACACTTGCATAAAGTTGGAGACAATGCATGAATAAATTGATAGAATAAAAGATTTAAAATTTTTTTTAATATTAAAAAAAAAGTTAAAACTATTTTGTCAGCTACAAATCTTATTATTGATATTTGACACACTTCTACTTGTCCAATCAATCTGAAATTTTGCACACTTGCGTAAAGTTGGAGACGATGCATGAATCAGTTGACAGAATAAATAATTTTATAAATTAAAATTTTTTTTTCATTATTAAAAAAAATAGAAAATAATTTCATCTGCTACAAATCTTATAATCCATATATGACAAAATTTGACCTGTCCAATCGATTTGAAAGTTTGCACAATTGCATAAAGTCAGAGACAATGCATGAATCAGTTGACAGAATAAATAATTTTGAAAATGTACAAAATTTTGCTATAAAAAAATGTGAAAAATATTTTTTTAATATTTGAAAATAAAGTTAGAAATTCATTGTACATGTCTAACATCCAAGCACTGAATTCTTCAGAAGTGTTGCATTTAAAAAGTAATATTTAAACGCATATTATTTCAATTGCAATTGCCTTGGGCATCAAAGAAAATTATCCCTGATGGACACCTCTCATTTGAGACGGAAATCTGTATTGGAGATATTGTAGGCCTTAGCAAAAAAATATAAAACCTTTTTTTACATCACAGGTTTGATTTAGCTGATCACATGTTAAACATTTGCTGATCTCCCGACATTTTATTTTCTATGAGTGCTGCTTTCCAAACATTCCGGATGAATGCCTATTGCACCCCAGAGTCCCCACATTTTCTACAATAGGTATTTTACCCGGCTCTCTCTGCCATTACTTGTATATATTAGCATCACTTCTGACATTTTATGAGTATAATAACTGTTCTCATCTTATTCATCTCCTCAGGGCCACATGAACAATAAGGGCATCCCTCTGGAGGCATCATTCAGCCCAGACTCGCAATTTGTGTTCAGCGGCTCAACCGACGGTCACGTGCACGTTTGGAACGCAGAGAAAGGCTACAAAGTGGCCACGCTCAACGGCGATCACACTGGTCCTGTTCAGTGCATCCAATTTAATCCTAAATACATGATGCTTGCCTCGGCGTGCTCTCACATGTCGTTTTGGCTGCCTGCTCTTGACCAGTGAAAATTTAACTCATCTTCAGTGTTACAGATTCCGTGCCGTAATACTACTGAATTAGTATAGCTTACTTCTAAACCTTAGTAACCGTAATTAATGTGCTCTTTTTTCCGTTGCGTTATTGTTGATTTTCTTTTGTATTTAAACTTTGTATTTACCATTGCAGATGATGAATTTACTCTTCACTTCCTCTAGATGCAGTATTGCTTTTATTTAATGTAATGCCAGACCTATTTCGGTTTTTGTTGCATTTTTGTTGCAACTTCTAAACGATCATTTTAATCTGTATCGAAATTCATAAGATGATATAATAAATGATAGTTTTTCATGGAATTTCATAGCAAACGCCCATAATTTCTTAGTGATTAATTGTAGTATGATCTCAATGAGTTCCGAAAGTGTCTCTAGATGTTATGTCTCCTAAACCCCACTATGCTATGTTCCTTCTATGAGTGATATCTTTTTGGCTTTCTACGACTGTTTGAAGGTGCTCTTCTAGGACGTTGCGGAGTTTGTTGAAGACAAGAGCGTAATCCTTTTCTGCAATTTGCATATTGCTCTACTCAATTATGGTGAATTAGACTTTTTGTAGGATTTGGAAGTTTGAATATGGGGTTTCCAAGGGTTTATTATGATATTTCAAAGTTACTAATGCGCATTATCCAATGTCAAGTAAAGTGAATGTTTTAAAAGGCTTAAGAATGGGATTTCGGAATGATATAAGTACGTTCATCAGATATTATTAATGAAACTTTAAAATTACGATTTATGCATCAAATTACTCTGAAAATTATTTCAATGTCCTAAAAATAAAGTGCTCTATTAATAGATCGTTGGATTAGGACCTTAACGCGATAGTGAATAAATAATATGTATGCGACACGTCGTAATATTATGGTCAAATGTCCATTGAAAACCTCAAGTATGAACTTCAATCCCCTGTGATAAGTCTAATTTCTAGAACTAAGAGATTCTCGCTGTGATCGTTTACGGTCACTACTTCAACGGTTTCAGATCGTTGTAACGGTGCCGATTGATATACTGGAACATGTAAAATCACAATGACGAGTAATGTCATTTACCCAAAATTGGTGAGCCCGTGCAGAGATCCCAGCTATGAGGTAATGGAAGTTGAAACATTCTTTGAGCGAACTTTTGAGTTGGCATTATGTTTGTATAAAATATTCTTATTATTTTGCTTCTGCTCATTGTGCAGTCTTTCATTTTCTGATGACTGTGCAGTAGTACAGTTAAATCGTGACTTCGATTTGTGGTAATTTTATTTCACTATGATATAAAAACCACTGTAAATAAATCATTAGACAAACTGAGTTTAGTTGACATAACTTATTTTCTACCTTGAACTGTTGATCTTGAAGAATTAACATTAATCTTAATTCTGGAATATGCTTTAGTCGTGAAATGTTCCAGCAGAATAAATTAGTGCGAGAAAGTTTTATTCGTTTCAATGCATTTATAAATGACTCCACGCAAATTACATTGATTTTCTAATACTTCTGTTATCGGCAGACCAACTTGTCAATTAATAGCAACACTAAAATAAGAGGTCTTGCACTCTACCAGAATGTACCTATTACTAATAGATTTTTCCCAAGTTTTTAACGTCGTAAGTCGTTTAACGCGGATTCATCACATGACATTATGTTTCTGTTTGCACGGAAAATCTTGTGATTTGGGTTAGCTTCCGCCGGTCAGTCGGGAACGAAGTCCGGCTGTAATTATCTTTTGAATGTTTATCATAATCTAGGAAACGAAAATGTTGCATCTCTCCAAAAGAGTCTTGGCTAAGACTCAACTATCAGTGCGTATACAGTATACTAACAGCTGTTAGAAATTCTTTGTGGTCTTTTTTCTTCTTAATATTTAGTAATCGATGGTAAAGAAAGATTTTAATTTAAACTGAAGGTGCTTGCCTCAGCCCCTCAGAGTCAGAGGCTAGACTTCAAGTGGCCTATGTGGCCTGTGGGATTGAGTGCTGAGCAGCACAGACCTTAGAGCGACTGAATATTTCTTGCAACACCTCAGCATCTAGACGATATGATCTATGACTTCAACTAATAACAATAATACCATCAAACGGGGTAAAAAGGGACAGGCGGGGTAATAAGAGACAGTCCTCCAGGCTCCAACATTTTGTAGAAACATAGTAGGTAGCAAAGCAGAGATTTTTTTAGACTCTCCATTCAGTTCATTTCTGAGTCCTATAAGTAAGACCAGCAAAGCATCCTGGATACCAGCATTATCATACAAAAGAAATTGGTTAAAATCTTAAATAAATGACGAAATTAAAAATGAACTGATTCTAAAAAATCTCTGGTTTGTGACTATGTGTAGAAATGATGCAGCAGCTGAACTAGGCATAGTGGCAAACCAGAGCTTTTTTGGAATCAGTTCATTTTTAATTTCCTCAATAACTCAAGATTTATACCAATTTCTTATGTATGATAATGCAGGTATCAAGGATACTTTACTGGTCTATATATAGAACTCAAAAATGAACTTGAAAGAGAGTCTAAAAAACTTTCTGCTTTGCCACTATGGAACTAGGGTAGGGTAAACGCGGTATATTCCGACACTTTAAGGACGCATCGAGAAATGAAAAACTATAAAAAAAACGTATGCATTACGTAAGTTCTGTTGCCTTCACATGACTCTCAAAACACTTCACTACGCGTCAGCAACAATGAAACGTCACAAAATGTTGCCATATTTATTAAAAAGCCTTTAGAATGGAAACCTACCAAATCCCTATATTCCGTCNTATGGCAACATTTTGTGACGTTTCATTGTTGCTGACGCGTAGTGAAGTGTTTTGAGAGTCATGTGAAGGCAACAGAACTTACGTAACGCATACGGTTTTTTTTATAGTTTTTTATTTCTCGATGCGTCCTTAATGTGTCGGAATATACCGCGTTTACCCTAATTTCAGTAGGTATGAAAATAATGAAATCTTGCGGCTCAAATGTCATAAATTTTTGTTTGATTGAAAAATCGCGGGTTGGACTTTGCAAACATGTCATTTCATACATTTTTTAACTTGCACTATCTGCATTGCTTTACCGTTCCTGCCAAAATATCCTGCAGAAAAAACATAAACATCATAATGTAAACAAATCAACTAAACGTTTTGTTGAAGATCGCGCATAGTTGCGGTCATGTCAAAGCGGTCAGACTGCATTAACACATGCTCAACTTACAGTACAGACAAATTTTATTGTTGCCGTTTGACTGTTTTAGGGTGAAATTAGAGATTTGGGGTAACATGTGCATGGACTTTGTGAATAAATTCACGCCTTGTAAATGGCTTTTCATGGCCAAGATATGGAATTCACGGCTAGGTGAAATGGAATCACGGTTCGAATAAATGGAATCACGGCTGGCGAATCAGTAAAACCACGGCTCAAAAAATTCAGTCGCGGCTTGCCAAGTAGATATATTCCATGCCTCATGATGCCTGCATGCAAGAGTGGTAATTGCATCGTGCATGGTTGTTTTTAGTTTGGTTTGTTTTTAATTTCTGAAACAAATTATGTTTGTCAAGTCAAGAATATTACTTTCGTTTTTTTACTCTCTTTTCTTATTTGACTCATTTTGTGCCTTGACTCACTTTATTTGTTTCTTTTGTTCTGCTACACCACTTATTGTAAAAGAAACATAATGTCATTTATACTCTTGTAATTCACCACCACTCATAATCGAGAATGAGTCATGATTACTCACAAGGGTGAGGTCAGGGCTTCAAATATGAGCAAAGTGAATCTTCATGACACACTTGTTTTCTGACCCAGTGCTGTTTTTTACTCATTACTTTTGTTATTTGATGCACTTCAATTCCTTGACTCACTTTCATTCCTTGACTCACTCTTGTCCTTTGATTTACTTTCCTTTTTTGACTTGCTTTAATTCTTTGATTCACTTAATCCCATGACACACTGTTGTTATATGACTCACTTATGTTCTTTGACTCACTTCTGTTCTTTGACTCACGGTTATTATCATGTAGTATGTGAAAAGGTAAGATAGTATAGTCGGCACTTGGGAATAGGCCTGGTGCCGATAATTGGACTTTTCAGAACTAGTTCACAGGAGATCTAAAGGGTCCTTCGACCGTATCTTTTCATTCTTTGACTCACTGTCTTTATTTGACTCACTTTCGTTCTTTGATTCACTTTTGTCCTTTGACACACTTTCATTACTTGATGTCTTTCATTGCTGTCTTTAGATAGGTACACTTTCATTCCTTGACTCACTTTTGTCCTCAGATTACACTTCATTCTTTGATTCACTCTTGTTATTCTTCTTGTTATTCTTTTCTCTTATGACTCACTTTCCTTTTTAGCACATTTTCTCATGCATAGAAAAAAGGTGCAATTGTGCTTGTCATGTCTGTCTGTCCGTGACTTCATGTTTTCGTTGATGAGAAAATAACGCTCTCTGTCACACACTGCAGTGAGTACTGAGTTATGTTTATTTTACTCACTTTCATCCTATGACTCACTTTTTTTTACTTTCTTTTGTCCATTGACATTTTTGTTCTATGACTTACTTTCTGTCTTTTACTCACGAAAGTGAGTCAAAGAACAAAAGTGAGTCAAAAGAAGGAAAGTGAGTCAGGTAACAAAAATAAATCAAATAACAAAAGTGAGATAAATAATAAAAATAAGTCAAAGGACGAAAGTAAGTCAAAGAATGAAAGTTAGTCAAAGAACAAAAGTGAGTCAAAGAACAAAAATGAGTCAAAGAACGAAGGTGAATCGAAGAACAAAGGTGAGTCAAAGAACAAAAGTGAGTCAAAGAATGAAAGTGAGTCAAAGAATGAAAGTGAGTCAAAGAATGAAAGTGAGTCAAGGAATGAAAGTGAGTCAAAGAACAAAAGTTAGTCACAGAACGAAAGTGACTCACAGAAGGAAAGTGAGTCACAGTATGAAAGTGAGTCAAGGAACAAAAGTGAGTCAAAGAACAAAAGTGAGTCACATAACGAAAGTGAGTCACAAAACAAATGTGAGTCATAGAACGAAAGTGAGTCACAGAACGAAAATGAGTCATAGAACTAAAGTGAGTCACAGAACGAAAGTGAGTCACAGAACAAAAGTGAGTCACAGAACGAAAGTGAGTCACAGAACGAAAGTGAGTCACAGAACGAAAGTGAGTCACAGAACGAAAGTGAGTCACAGAACGTAAGTGAGTCACAGAACGTAAGTGAGTCACAGAACGAAAGTGAGTCACAGAATGAAAGTGAGTCACAGAACGAAAGTGAGTCACAGAACGAAAGTGAGTCACAGAATGTAAGTGAGTCACAGAACGAAAGTGAGTCACAGAACGAAAGTGATTCACAGAACAAAAGTAGTGAGCTGTGGTGGTGCAGTGGTGAGAGACTATCTCTCGCACCCAGCTCCCGGGTTCAAGTCCCACTGAGGACAAGTTCTTCTGGGAAGCTCAGCTCATGGTCATCTCAGCCATTCATCCAACTCTGGTTGATAAATGAGTAGGTAGGTACCTGGCTTGTCCAGGGTGTTGTGTAATGCAATAAAATGGTTCTGGGGGGTCAGCGAGCCAGTGATGGTCGTAGAACTACCAGTGGCACCGAGTGCCCAGAAAAACTGACCTATCACCCCCCTCCCTGGTTGCCACTACCAGGATGGGCAATTACAACAACAGAACAAAAGTGAGTCACAGAACAAAAGTGAGTCACAGAACGAATGTGAGTCACAAAACGAAAGTGAGTCACAGAACGAAAGTGAGTCACAGAACAAAAGTGAGTTACAGAACAAAAGTGAGTTACAGAACAAAAGTGAGTCACAGAACAAAAGTGAGTCACAGAACAAAAGTGAGTCACAGAACAAAAGTGAGTCACAGAACAAAAGTGAGTCACAGAACAGAAGTGAGTCACAGAATAGAAGTGAGTCACAGAACAGAAGTGAGTCACAGAACAGAAGTGAGTTACGGAACAGAAGTGAGTCACAGAACAGAAGTGAGTCACAGAACAGAAGTGAGTCACAGAACAGAAGTGAGTCACAGAAAAGAAGTGAGTTACAGAAAAGAAGTGAGTTACAGAACAGAAGTGAGTCACAGAAGAGAAGTGAGTCACGGAACAGAAGTGAGTTACAGAACAGAAGTGAATCACCGAACAGAAGTGAGTCACCAAACAAAGGTGGTTCAACGAACAAATGTGTGTCATGAAGAATTATTTCGCTCATAGTTCAAGCAAGCCCTGACCTCACCCTATTGAGTAATCATGCCTTATTCACGATTACAAGCGGTGGTATGATTTAGATAGATGGCACTTGCCTATGATGCTTCTCAATTGATCTCATCTTTTAATCAATATGGCCTTTGGCAAATGGTCAATATGGCCTATGGCAAATGGTCAATATATATTGCCTATGGTAAATGATCAGTAATGACTTCCTGCTAATTGTGACCCTGTACCTGCACTGTTTCTTATTATTTTATGACTTAAATAACATGGTTTCATTGCAGGCTTTGCAAAATGTCCGGCATCAGTCTCAGCACGGAGCGGCCCGCAAATCTGGTGGAGGAGGGGTTGCTGCTGCTGTAATTGGTGGAACTGTGATAGGAGGATTTGGTGGCATGCTTGGTTATGCTTCATGGAGTGATGAGAATAGGAAAGTAAGCATCTATTACAATAAATAATAAATATCTTGTATTAGAGATCTTTGCGCAATGAAATTATTAATGAATTTCTTAGTATAATTAATAATACCTGCTTGGTTTGTTTATAAAGCTAAATTATGAACTTGTGTTGAAATAACAATTTTAAATCTTGTATAAATTAGTAATTCATTTGGTTCTGTATATTAAATTTAATGACAAATTGCCATAATATAATGTAACCATAATTGTATTCATTTGCGAATTTATTTAACCTTGTTCATGACACATTTGTTTATTCTACAGACCATTGACAACAACATTCCATTTATTTTACAGACCATCGACAACAACATCCCATTTATTTTACAGACCATTGATGACCTATCACAGACCATTGATGACAACATCCCATTTATTTTACAGACCATTGATGACAACATCCCCTTTATTTTACAGACCATTGATGACAACATCCCAGGAATGCAGTATATCACTGATGCTGTACTGGGATCTAAGGCCCCTGCTGCTGCTGGGAAGCCTCAGCCCAAGATGTTGGTTATTCCTCCTCCTACAATAGTCCAGCCTGTGCCTCCCCAGGTTAAGCCTGCTCCTCCCCAAGACAAGCCTGAAGACCAGACTCAGAGCCCCATAATGAAGAAGAAAATCGAAAGAGAAAAGAAAAAGGAACAAGAGGCCACTGAAAATGTCAAAGAAAAATCAGAAGGTAACACCTGTTACTCAAGGAAATCTATCTTCAAAATATTTTTATTTATCTGCATGAGTATATCTTTTTGTCAGCTTACTGAAATATGGAGAGATCAATTTTTTTTAGTAATGCACAATTCTTTGTTGAACTGGTCAGTTTATGTATACTAGTGCTATTATTGCTTTTAAAGCATCTCATGTTCAATTTGGGGAAAATTACACTTTTCTTCAGTCTAAGTAGAGAACCCTGTATACATAACAGATCGTTACAAGCTATACAAATATAAATACATAGAAAACTATACAGTATCAATTCAGCTATTAAACAAAGTAATTAGTGCGGGATGACAGTTGCTACACCCAAGTACTCACTCTAATAAGAGGTTCTGGTGGAATGAATCAAAATATTAAAAGCTGGAATGAAGTTAACTATTGTCAAATTCGTTGTGGTGACGTTCATATATAAACAAATCTCATTTTTACAATTATATTTAATTCTAAATTTCTAAATATTTTTATTATATTAATACAAAATCTTGAACGGAACCGCCACACTTTAATAGATAGTTTGCATCAATTACCTCAATTAGTTAGCAGCTTCTGTATCATCAACTAAACTGTATAAAATTTTGATGATTGTAACTTGCATTATCTTTTAATCTTGGATGCCAGCTTGGAGAAATTTTAATTCCTGCCAGTTCGTTTTTTTCATCATGCCTGTTTCTTGCTAAAGAACTAAGAAATATCAAGCATGCCTTTTTTTAAATTTGCATTGTTTAGTATTTCAAAGCATAGCCATAAATTTTCATTTTTTGCTTTAAACCTTTATTAGGTACATTTGTAGACTGTTCTTTCATTTTTTAATTGTCTGAGGTAAGTTGCTTTGCTTAGGAATTCTTCATTCATTTATTTATTATTGCTTTTACCCTGCAGCTTCTATCACCTCACCATTACCCTCAACTCCTGAGCCGGCCTCCTCTAGCATCAAGTCAGGTCTGCTTGCCCTTTTAGCGCATTTTTTCATTTATGGAAAAAAGCCCTTTTGTACTCGCCATGTCCGTCTGTCTGTCTGTCTGTCCGTCCGTGACTTCACGTTTTCGTCGACGAGAAAATGCGCGCTCTGTCACTCACTGCAGTGAATACTGAGTTATATTTTTTTGTATAATTGCTCTCGCGTTTGTCTGCTTCTGTGCACATGTGGTTTTCCTTGCAGTTCCATGCCGATAAACAGCTAATTTGAAGCAAAACAGTAATTAAAAAAAAGTCATTATCATGCAAATGAACAGAGCAGTTGTAAGAGTTGTTTTGTAACATGTCTTTGCTCAAATTTCTCGTTGTTTTCAACCACTATGTAAGAAGAATTCTAGAAATTATAACAATCATTTTAAAATTTGAATTGCTTCCAATTTAACATTTGAATGCCTAAGTTTAAAATATCACGAAATTTTATCAGAAGACAGGTAAGATGCTCGAAATAAGTCTTTAAACTATAAATCGTTAAATAAACTCACTCGCTCATTTACATTACCTTGTGTTCAGTACCATCATGAGAATCATATTCTGTTCGTCAGTTTCCCTACAATGTTTAATGGCTGAGCAGACCTTGCGTCAGCGTTGGCTGCATCTATGAAGGAAGCTAATTCCGGGGTTACGGCCGCCCTGGATGCTGCTGAAAAAGCTGCTGCTGTTGTACAGCAACAGGCCATGGCCATTATCCTGGTAACTAATTATTTAGCACTTTTTTACCTACGTTATGCTTTAGATTCTTTAGTCCGATTTTGATTTAACATAGCAAGTGCTTGTTCACTTTCTTTGAACATTCATAGGTTTGATTATTAAACAATGTGCTTCAATCTCAAATACTGTATAAGTGATTTTTTTTCTTTCGGGTCATTCTGTCACCTCAGTATTCTTATATCAAATATCCCTCATAAAATATCACAATTCTGGTAGCTGCGACGTTCAATTGCCAAAAATTCGATCCCGTTAAAGATATGCTGCATATATATTGCTTAAAGTTTATCAAGAGCATATGTCAATGATTAGAATGATGCGCTCCAAATTACTCAAACATTTCAGATAAGTGAGAACTGTTTTAATTCGAATTTAATCAATCCTAATATTAAAAAATGGTTTCGACTTCCCTCTTCTTTTTAAAGTCAGTAGACAGCGGTGCAATTGAAGACAGCGTGAAAGCAAGCGTCAGTGCTGCGGTCATTGCAGCAGAGGAAGCATTCAGACAGGCACAGTGAGTGCTCATGTTGCAGTTAAGGCATGAACATTGTTTAATTTAACATGCTTATTTGACTGGGTCAGAAAGTAATTGTGGGATTATTTCTAGTTGTTAGTCTTCAACATACGAAAGCAAGTTACTCTAAATGGGTTAACTTCTGGCTTGCGCATTGTTTAAATTTGATAAAAACACATTATTAATGATTATTTATTAGGTACTTAACATTATTTTAGGCAATCTTTCTGTTGCCCATGTGACCACATAGAAATCGTTTAGTCTGTTTAATGAATGTGGATAAATGTTGAGCTGCTGTATTTTCCCAGCATGTTTAATCTCCAAGCAGATAGTGACGTTAATATCCCGGTAAAATCATTTCATTTCTAGAAATCGCAAGTATTAAATCAAGGTTTGCTTCATAAATCACGGCCAACAATAAAAACTCTCATTGGTCTTAGCTTGCACGGGACATAAACATTTTTATAAACATAAATTTTTATGCCAATCAGACGTCCAAAATGTTGAACAATAGTTAAATTTAGATCATTTGGTAGATTTAATTTTTCAAAAGTTATATACTTTTATTTTACTTACATCATGCATAATGAATTATAAACAATTTTTCTATTGGTCATTAGCTCCAGAGTATTAGCTGGCCATTCACGTTTATTTTACTGCCAATGTTTGTCAACTATTTTTATTTCGATATTAATTTCTGAACGAAGAGTGAAGGTGACGGAGCTGGCGACCAACATAGCAAGCAGCAAGAGCTCGGGCAAGTCAGACGCCAGTGTTATTGATGTGGCCGAGCAAAGCATCTCAGAACTCGCCCCAGCAGTTGTCAAAGTGAAGGAGGTCGTCAATAACGCTGTGAATACCATGCTTAATGTCGGTGAGTTACGGCGTTGGATCATTAGTTGGAGCTTTTATATTCCTCAGTGTTTCCTACTTTGAGTTTTATATGTAGCATTCAAACTGAATTTGAAACGTGAAAATGGAACGGAAATTTTTTAAGTCAAAATTTGACTTAAGTTAACGTGTGAGCCTTCAAAGGTTGATTCCATTTTTGAACTACACCTACGGTCTGGAAAAGTGAGGTTAATTCGCCAAATGAACTACGATTAATTTCAGAACTGATGTGCAACGCTCTGAAGGAGGCTCGTATCAAGTTGGCAGCAGAAGTGCGAGATGTTTTGCCAACGCTGACTGACATTGATGCTGAGAAGCAAATCCAGCTGCTACTCGGCCACGCCTATAACAGGATTCTCAACCTACAGAAACAAATTGCCGACAAGCAGAAGGTATAGTTACAGTTACGCTATGCTCGATTCATCTTTTTACGCACCTTTCGTGTATTTAAATAAAGTATGAATCATAACTGCACACAATGACCATAATTTTCTTCTCAATGAACATGATTTTTTTTCCTGATGAACATAAAAATTGTGATCAGGTTCTGGATGAAATTCGTTCACGTGGATCGCTCAGTGACGGTCCCGGGAACATCTCAGAGGCCGTACTGCAGTCTGAACTTGATAAGCTGCGTCATCAGCTGCAGCTCCAGCATCGGTAATTTTGAAATGGAATGACTTTTTACAGTCTCCAAATTTAAAATGTCATATGCTAGAAAATATTTGGATTCTCCGAAATTTTTAACAATTCAACAGTCAAGACGGAAAGACACTACTTTATTCACTCGTGACATTGATTATATAGTGTGACATAATGTTTGAGTAATATGACAGTGGTTACGTAGTGAATGTTTTAATTTAGTGTTGTTACTTGAGTATGAGTATGTAATTCAAGGTCTGGCTTGTGTTGGTGCAACTTGCTTGTGCTGTTCATACATGAGTGGAAGTTACGGTCTGGCTTGTGTTGGTGCAACTTGCTTGTATTGTTTACACATGTGTGGAAGTTACGGTCTGGCTTGTGTTGGTGCAACTTGCTTGTATTGTTCACACATGTGTGGAAGTTACGGTCTGGCTTGTGTTGGTGCAACTTCTTGTATTGTTCTTCTTGTGTTCATACATGTGTGGAAGTTACATTGTTCAGGTCGGACTTGGGACGTCAACAAGAGGAGTTGGAGGCCGAGGTGCGAGGTCAGCTGAAGCGTCAGGCAGCCGCGCATTCCGAGCATCTCTCTGACATGCTCGAGAAGCAGGAACACGAAATCACGGCCGCCTGGCAGCTTAAACTATACGATGAGATCAACAAAGAGAAAGATAGACACTTCAGGGATGTTGCTAGCATCAGGGCCAAGCTTCTTGGAATGCAGGTATGACGGCTCCATTCACCGTAGATTAGCTGATCGTTTTTTATAAATTCTATATCATTCCAGTATAGATAATTGGACTCTCTATCATCGTCTCAGTCCTCGTAGTTTGGAGTAATTATTTTTCTTACTCATGTTTTATGATTTATATGTTATTGGAATGAAGTTATTACTCATGATTCAATAATCGTTTTACGTTCTATAAAGGCGGCTGTGACAGCTCGAGCGGACGCTGATCGTGCTGCTCATGCTGCCCGCTCGCTCTGGCTCGCTTGCCAAGCTCTCCGCAACACCATCAGGTTCTGAGCAACAACATACCAAATGAATCCTTGTACATATAACATTATTAATGCTTATATTAAAAAGTTGTTAGATTCATCAGCATTAGATCTTTTCCACTGCTCACTCCTGAACATGTATATGCACCTTTCTTACATTTCAGGATCTTACCAAATTTCAGGCAATGGTTGTTAAAAAAAGAGCAAAAATCTTTCACGTTGGAAGTAGCTCACCTCACCTTGATAACACTCCTTGCTTGTACTTATTATTGAAATTAAATGCTTCTCACCTATAAATTTGTATCTGTTTTCGTTTACTTAATTATACTCAAAGAGGTCTTCCATTCACTAAAATGTCAACCAGAACCTTTTTGCCTGGGATACATGTTTTAATTTGAATTTGTTCACAAATTCTCCGCTTCATTGTTGAAGGCTTGGGAAGGAAGGCGCCAGCAGCTTTGACGATCAACTCCAGCCTCTGCAGAGCCACCTCACTGCCATCTCGGTGTCTGCTGGTCAGTAATTACTTTCCTGATCATTGCATTGAAATGTGCGCTGCTTCGTTCATCTAAATAATTACGCATTGCAAACCAATGTACTGACATTAACCCTTCAGTGATAACGTGGATTACATATGTAATCCACGCCTATTATATTCGACTGTAACAAAATGGTGATCAATTTGGTTAGTTTATGTAGGCGACCACTGTAGGGTTAAACTGGGTATGTATGTACCTTTCAGCCTAAAGATTAATAGTATTCACTCCTTGGGAAACTTATATCTAGCTTTGTGTATCGCAACTGTCATTTCCGATCTTATTTCTGAATGACCTAGATTCTGTATTATATTCTAGCAATAAGCTATATATTCCCGCGAGTGCAGAATACAATAACTAATACGCATAGTGAAAATTGCTTTTTATTTGGCAACTGTTGCATCATCTTCACCAAAATTGTTTTTTTTTTATTTGCCAACTGTTGATTCATCTTCACCAAAATTATTTTTCTATTTGGCAACTGTTGTAGTCATCTTCAACATGAGCGTCCGTCTGAAGAGTTGCGTGCTGTATTCTTATGTTGTATTCCAGGCAGCGACGAGTTCGTGCAGACCGTCATTGGGAGCATCAGCAAGGAAGCCGTGGAGCGCGGCGTGTGCACGGAGGAAGCGCTGCGCCACCGCTTTGATAGAGTCTACGCGGTTGCCAGACGCGTCGCTCTTGTGCCAGAAAATGGAGGATCTCTCCTCAGGTGGGTCCTACATTATCCTTTGATGGGTTAGTGAAACATCAGGTGGGTCATACATTATCCTGTGATGGGTTAGTGAAACATCAGGTGGGTCATACATTATCCTTTGATGGGTCAGTGAAACATCAGGTGGGTCATACATTATCCTTTGATGGGTCAGTGAAACATCAGATGGGCCACACATTATCTTTTGATGGGTTAGTGAAACGTCTGGTGGGCCACACATTATCCTGTGATGGGTTAGTGAAACATCACGTGGGTGCATCGTGAGTTTCAATGATGTGCAATACTGACGATTGTGATCATCATTCACTAATCTTAAAGTAAAATAAAAATTCCTATACATTCTGTGTGATAAATATCTGAAACATTTTTTTTCATTTTGACGACAATAATTCTATCCACGTACACAGTGTTTTAAATCAGAGTTTCGAAAGTACATGTAGAAATCGTACAAGGCGCCTGTGTTGCAGGTACCTGTTGTCGTACCTGCAGAGCGTCCTGCTGATCCAGGCGTCCGCCTCGGCCGCCAGCGACACCGAACTCCTCGATCAGCCCATCAACGTTCACGACCTCAACACCTTCGATATTCTCGACAAGGCCAAGTAGGATCATGCAGTTAATTGTTGTTAAGAGTGTGTGTGGGCAATTTAAACCTAACGCTTGAATTGTCATTTGCGAACAGTTATTGTTTATATCATAATTTGATCTGAGAGGAATAATTTCCCGATTACTTATGCTGCGAAAACTTCAAACGTTAGTTATGATTTTCTCTTGTGAATGTTGCTTTTATCTATGTTTAGAGGGTCCGCCATATTTATGGCAACGCATGTTTTTTATTATTCTCAATGAAACAAATAGGTGCATTGTTCTTTTTTATGAGCTAGTAGCCAATAATTACCTAAACAATTCTCAAACATATTTATTCAATATGACCACCCTTATTTTTAATGACGGCCTCCAATCTACGCGGGAAAGCTTCACATGAGACACGCAGCATTTCTTGAGGGATCAAGTCCCATTTTCGTGTCAATTTAGACTTCAAACTATCCAAAGAATCATGAGGTGTTCTGCAGACCCTACTCTCTGAAATAGCCCGCACAGAAAGGTCGAGAGGATTCAAATCAGGGCTTCTTGAGGGCCATTCATTTTTTCTAACGAACGCTGCGAGGTGACACTGAATCCAGTTTTGGGTCATGTTTGAGCCCTGTGATTGGAAAAGTCTTGTTGAAAACTCCATGGTGAGCCGTTGAAGTGTTTACGGGTTCAAAGTAACAACTCAGCTTCCAAAATGTCCGAAATGTATCGCTGACTGTTCAATTTCAGTCCTGAGGGGACAAAAACGAGTGGGGACCTCCCAGTGGCGGTTACCGCGGCTTAAACCATCACGGACATGGGATTTTTTGACGGTTAACGCTTTGTTCAATGTCAAATTTGTTCTCGTCACTGAACACCAAGTTGGGCAGCGTGCCATCCTAAATGAGATCCAGAATGTGCTGGCATCCTTCGAGCCTCATTCGTTCATGACGGTCTCTTAGTTCATGCCTGGTTTGCATCTTGTAAGGGGAGGTTTTGAAGTCATCTTTGAGGACTCTACCGTCTCTACGCATTAATGTCTGACTGACTCCTGCTTCTTCAGCTAATTTTTCAGCTGAGCGACGAGGGTTTCTTCTCAACTTCTCCCTCGTGTTTTGACCAATTGTTTTGTTCGGACACTTCGTTTTCTTCCTTGGCCAGGTCGATTGCATGTTTCAAGAGGTTCCTTAAATTTTTTTTACCACTTTCCACACGGTTTCACGACGAATTTGGAGTTTTTTGCAATGACTGAATTACTCTCGCTCTTTTATGGAGGGTTACAATTACATTTCTATCTACTGCCATAAGTAATAGTAAATTTAGACACCTTAGACTTCTGCAATATAAAATAGATGAACTAATAGATGATATTAAGCTTCATTATAAAAGAAAAGTCTCCTAGAAACAAATTCATTTTATGTAGCAAACATCCGTTGCCATAAATATGGCGGACCCTGTAAAGTGCAACAATTTAAGTACTTTTGAGGGGATATTCGTAGAATCGTCTGTAGTTATACATTTGATCTTTTATTCCCATGGCCTTTTTTTAATGTGCTTCTTACAAGGAGGTTGTTGTTGTTAATTGCCCGGAGGAGGTTCTCAGGATTACAAGGAGGTTCTCAGCTAATTATTTTACCCATTAGATACTTGCAGTTCGAACCATATTCTTCAGCGAATGATTATCATCCAACGATTTTATGCATCTTTAGGGCATCCCTTCTATCGGATCACTCCATTGGCATCTGACTATTCGTTTAAAATATTGCCATAATAATCGTGTAGTAATATAATCGTTAACTTCTGTGGTTTAAAAGTTTGTTTGGCCGAGGACGACGTCACTCATTAGCATTTTTCTTGGCGTCACTCATTTTTCATCTGACCATACCTTAGCATTGTTCTAATGATTATATAGTAATTTAATCATAAACTTTGATGTACCAGAGTTTGCTTGGCGTCGGACGATATGCTGGGATGTGTGCGCTGGCTGAACCAGCTGACTGGAGAGTCGCGGCGCGTCGCTCAGGACTGGAAGGAAGAAGCGCGTCGGACGCTTGAGACTCGCCAGGCTGCCGACGCTCTCATGGCTCACGCTGCTGCTACCACCGCAACCGCTCTTTGAACCGTCACAGAATCACTAATATTCTTTCAAATTCTCTGGTTTTGGATGACATTTATGATGAATTATTTATTCTTTTAACTTGATAAAGCTATTGAAACTTTCTGTGAGAAGAATAATTAACTTTGTGTTCGAAATTAAGAATGTTGTTGAACTCTCGACCGATTTAGTTCTGAATTAAAAATATGTGTTCCAGCTATTGAATTACAAATAATGCTTGAGTCTTCAGTCATGTGATAGCTTGTAGAGTGATACAAATCCATCCAGAAGAAAAGACTAAATTTAACATAACCTAACGATTTAGAAACCAACGATCTCTGCTCTCATCCGCGAGGTGTTGGCTGTATTCTTCCGAGAACGGCTTTATTTTAAATCTGGTTTAGCCGTCACTCCGTGTCAACTAGAGTGATGTTTGTTACAAATAGTTCGGAGTTTGATTGTACCTTGTCTTGAAAATTCTTTTATGGGTATTGGTTATCTCTTCTAGGCTTGTTGGGTACTAACTTTCTATAACATTGAAATGATTCTACCATAACAGTGTTCTACTATTGTTGTTGAATCTATTTGTAAAGTCACTGCAGTGCAATGCCCTGTAGTTTGAATTTGTAACTTCAGACGCTTGCAATTAGGGCGCCTATACCAGAGGGGAAATTTAAATCTTCGTTTCGTAAGATTGGCACATAAAAAAATATTTTCCATCAAAACTCCAGAATAAATGAAAAATTCAGCAGTTGTCAAACTAGTAATTAGTTTCGCTGATTTGCGCTCATGAATGCACAGAGTAAAAGTGGGAACTCATTTATGCATCACTGCCACGCAATAACTAGCCTCATTCATTGCTCTGTGTTAGGTCATGGATGTAATTGTGTTGTGAAGATGTTTTCCTATGTTTTAGTTATTTTAGCTCGGAGACGCGGTTGTAAGCCTGTACATAAGGTCACATAAAGATGGGGTGCTTGAGTCGTGTGCCGCCTCTTATTATACACAATAAAATCAAATCTATGTGAAAAGCTAGCAGATATTTTTTCTTGCCCCGAGCAGCATTGCAAATTTTTCAGAAAGCCTTGGCATGTAATAAATATAGTATTGCATTTTTCGGAAATTTCCAGGTTTCATAGTATTATTTAAAAATATAATATTCATTATGTATGGATTTTTTTACGATGACGTAAATACCAAATCACGTTCTGTCTTGGACTATATTCTTTCTCGCTGATTTCTTGAAATTTTTCTTCAAAACACCTTCATTGCGACATTTTCTCTCGCGTCAAGTGTTTTGTTTACGTATTTTTATATAGGTGCGATTGATGACCAGAGAATTCGTTGGTTTATATCATCAGGGAGTGGAACTTTTCTTCAGATGACAGCAGATAAAAAGGCAAGTTTCAGGAAGTAGTTTTTCTTTATTAACGACGTTTCGAATGCAACAAACATTCATTTTCAAGTTATAAGAAGCATTAAACATTGAAATTTTGGTGGAAATAAGTACATAATATAAGTAAATAGGATACAACAGTAAAATTTTGAACCAAAAATTACTCGAAAATTTTTTTCAGAGTTCAGACAAATCCGGTAGTATTTTTATATGTATAAAAATATTCTAAAATTGTGTGCTGCTAGTGTCCGGCCAGACCGCGGAGGAGTGCTACTGCACTAGGGGATTCGCAACCCTCCGGTCCTCTCATGCGACTGCGTTTAATTAAATGGTCAGCATATTGTCTAAAATAATTACTGATAAATTAAGCGAATCCATTTTCGAATGTTTAGCTGGTCTGAGAAAATTGTGTGTTTGGAGCTTGGGCTATTCATTTTTTATTGCTTACATTTTCAAGCGGGTTAAAAATTTCAAGGGGGTTTATTGAACCATTTTTATTTGTCACAAGGAAGTGCACTCGCTACTTGCCGAGTAGCGACTCGGCATCCGAAAAGACTGAAGCCTTTTCAGTTTTCTATTAATTTTTGACAAAATAGTATTGTTGTTTTAGTTGCATACAGTTTTTAGTTATGTACAATAATACAATTGTCACCCACTTCTTTGTTAAGATCCCGGGTTTCATTGTTGTCAATCTTGAAATATAAAGTATTCCGGTCAATTAAATTGTCCTCATTTTCGTTTGAAAATTCGCTCGCAACCCATCATTATTGCCGATAGCTTCCTAGTTTTATACGCTCGCTCGTGCGAAAGTCATTTTCAAATCATATTTTACAACTACTAATACTACTCATTCTCGAAGTTGAAATCTTGAACGTTTTTAAAATTATTAACATCATTGTATTTTCATCAGAGTTCTTGATGTCATAACTATTCGTGTTGATTCAGTCAAGAAATTTTTCTACAACATCGTAAACAGCTATTTTTGAAACACAGGAGACTGCGATGGGTCGGTACAAAGTGCTTGAGGCCATCGGAGAAGGTTCGTTCGGGAAAGTATTTCGAGGCGAATGTCGCGACACGCAGCGCATAGTTGCACTGAAATTCATCCCGAAACATTTGAAGGGCGACAGCGAGCTGATCAGCTTGAGGCGGGAATGCGAGATACAGCGTGGCTTATTCCACCCAAACATCGTGCTCATGCTAGACTCGTTTGAGACTGAACGCGAGGTGGTGGCCGTAAGCGAGTATGTCCCGCAGCAGCTGTGTGCGTTGCTGCAGGCTAACGGGGCGTTAAACGAAGTCATGGTTCGCGGTATAGCGTGTAATTTGGTATCTGCTTTGTATTACCTCCACTCTCACCGAATTGTTCACCGAGATATAAAGCCCCAGAATATCTTACTCACTGAATCTGGTACTGCTAAGTTGTGTGACTTCGGGTTTTCAAAAAAGATGGAAATCAATACGTATGTATTGGAATCGATTAAAGGCACGCCGCTGTACATGGCTCCAGAGTTGATAGAACAACAACCTTACGATCAAAAGGCTGACTTATGGTCTCTTGGATGCATTTTATTCGAGTTACTGACGGGGACTCCTCCATTCTGCACCAATTCTATTGTCCATCTCATTGAGATGGTCCGCACAAAACCCGTCCAGTGGCCTACTGGCTGTTCTAGGAACTGTGTTGATTTTCTGCAAGGCCTACTCCAGAAAGACCAGGACAAACGTTTAGAGTGGCCTGATGTTCTTCAGCATCCGTGGGTGTCAACTGGTATAACGGTTGTGCCACACAATCCCCGAATAGCGTCTCTCACTTCTCCTCTGACGCAGTCGCAGCAGCAAGTCAAGGAACACCAGAAACAACAGCTCGTCCTTCGTAACATGGGCCAGCCGAACCTCTTACCGAAGGCTTTATCCCGAAAATACTTCAGCGAGGCGCAAGTTGTGCCTGACCTAGAGGCAATGAAGCTGGATGCACCAAAAGACAATACAACTGGAGTTGCCTGTCAGTCCCGAGTAAAAGAAAGTATCTTCGGAGAAAAGTTGTCTTCGTCGCTCAATAATCTTCCTAAAATTAGTTCACCCGAAGTTTTGCAAGATACAACCGAAAATAAGCAAACCCTCACGTGGTTTCCTCACGGTAGCGCAACCAGCAATGCTTCTGCTCAACGAGAAATTGAATGCATGTCGGGCACTGAAATCAAGCAATCTGAGGGCAAAGATTATAATTCAGCAGAAAATATTCAATGTACCGCTGATAGAAAGTCTTCTGGTACTTCCAGGCGAGACAGTAGAGTATCATCGGAATTATTAGACGACAAAACAGAAAATTTGAGTGTCGCTCCAACTGTTACGCAGTCAATGAAGAAAACCGAAACTTTGGGGTTGGCCGCTATTGAATCAGATATTCAGGAAGAAGAATGGATCCACTTTCTCCATCAAACAATTGCCGATGTTATGGGCGGAAATTTCGATGTGTATACGCAGCCAGGAGAACTTGCCATGTTTGTGTCTCCTTTGAGGAATTCTACATGCCCACTTCAAGTCGCCGAAAAAATTGCTATATTTTTTATGTTGCCATTCGTTCTAAAACCAGATGAAGACGTTTTATCTGAGATCTGTAATGGCTATTTACAACATAAGGTTGTTTGCAACTTGATTTACGCGTGCAAGCAAGTAAAGAAAGAATCTCCTGCTTCAACCGTCTCTGACGACCTAGAGAAAGAGCAAATCGAGGCCATTAATCAGATGCTATTAGTCGTGTGCCACTTGGTTCACCTGGACCAACCTTTGAGTACCAGATTTCTGAACCAGTTGTGTGAAGCAATATGCGTACTCGAGTGCCAAACAATCCTTGGACAGTGTCTTTTGTGTTCAGCGGCATCATCACAACTGCTTGCTAGTATACTGGCTATAATGACGCAAATTTTACGGAGTGACGACCCGTCTCCGGGAGTAGAGTTGGACGGGATAGTGCGGTCGATTATAGCGGCCGCCGCTCCTGTCTCGGCTACTGAACAGAATTCAGAGGAAACCGCCCTACGATTCCTGCTCATGTCCCTATTGACGCACACCGCTGCTTTGGTATGAAATTATAATCTGCCTTCCTTGATCTTCGGTGTTCAAATTGTTATAATATTATGACATTTTAATAATATTATGTCCTAACGCTCAATTTCTAAGTAACATGGTTCCTTCAGAACAAATGATAAAACTTAAACTCTATAAAATTGCAGTAATATTTCACTGCATCGGTAGTCATATCACTCATATGCTTCGTATTAATAACGTTGCGAATAGACCTCGTGACAATCGCAGCTAAATATCACTCACATGAAGTATGAAGTACCTGTTATTCATTACCCGTATTGAAATTTTCAAAAGTTATATATTTGACTATGGTGAGATGTAACTTGCAGGTGCGGAGTCGTTGCAGTACTCTACTGGCGCACCTAACTTCTCGTTGCAGCGCCCTGGTGTCGCGGTCGCTGGCAGGACAGCACAAGGTGCTGTGTGATCTCATTAACCTCGAGAACGATCCCAACCGCAGCGTGTGTAAAGCTGCGTCATTTGCCCTCACTCGACTGCAGCAACACACGACGCTCCTCAAGCAGCCAGCATAATAAAAACCATCCAGTCTGCAGTTTTTATTATAAAACATTAATTATAACGTACAAATTGAACGTCTACAGGGTAAATTGTAACAACTTTAATACGTAGATGGTTATGACTTGCCTTTTGAGACATAATTCTCAAAATTTCGTGAGCTATAGAATATCTTCATTGCCGTTTCTCTTTAGTAGCTTAGTTCTGCGTGATCAGCGTTAGTCTTGACCAGTTCAACTGAACTGTAACTAGTTCATTTATGAACTAAATTCATAGGGATATAATTAATTATCCTTGCGTTTCTTGTGGCCTAAACCAGCAAAATATTAGTTATTCTGACGGAAACCATAAGTTCGTTTGGAAATACTCATAAGACTTTTACGTTTTTAGCAACTCTCTATTGTATTACCAGGGAAGCGCCGTATTACATCTACTGAAGTGGCGCAATCTTGAGTACAAAGATTGCAAAAATTCATGAACTGCAAATAATTTCTTACTAATCCTCTTATTTTGTATTTGGTTTAATGAATACCGAGATGTTAGAAGAATTTTTTCCGCACCAGAGTATCATAACTAATCTAACTGAATGATTTGTTATCCTGAAGATATATATATGAAAATATACTATGTTTTTCAAGTCGAAATAATTTTACACCCCACAAAATCTAGCGAAGTCAGGCGCTGGTAAAGGCAAAATTAAATTAATTTAAGTTTTCTGACATGAAGATTTCAACATTGTATTATACTTAAAAATAAAATTAATTCATAGGTTTGCACCACCTTCAGCATAAGTTCTTTAGGTTTTATTGTCAAGGTCTTTCTGCTGTATAAAACACACGACATTTAAGATAATTTTCAAACATTATCAATTGGAAACTAGTACCTTAATTATATGAGAACAAAAAAAAACAATAACTATAATTTATAATGAATTTGAAAAGCGGGGATGTCCCCTTGGGCCACAGTTTCAAAAGTTTGCACTGTGCCCTTATCTACAAATTGTCTTGATTGTTTACCAGAATCAATCTCGCCTATTCTAATTTGAGCTCCATCTTCTAGAAGACCCTTCAACGATATTATTTGCCCATTTTCGTCCATGAGCTCGAAGGATTCGAGATCGACAGGCTCTTCTTTTATGAACGTCAGAGGCATGTCCGGCTCAGTAGCAGTACCAAAAATTTCTTGTTGTTCATTTTGGGCGGTCGTATCTTGACTTTGTTCTCCTCCCTCTAGTGAGATTACGCATTTCTTCAAATGTTTACATAGATATGGATATGTTTTGAATGTTTTGCCGCACTTGCCGCAGATATATGGTCGGTCATCCGTGTGAAGTTTTCGATGACTCCTCAAGTCACCTTTTGAACGAAAAGCACCGGCACAGTCGCAACATTTATACGGTCTATCGCCGTTATGAGCTCGCATGTGATGTTTCAGCTGAGCGTTGTGTTGGAAGGTCAGCTCACAAATGTTGCATGTGTATGGATTGACAGTGGAATGCTTGCGGACGTGATTGCGTAAATGAGTGCTAGTCGCAAAAGTCTCTCCACAGGTTCCACATATATAAGGCTTTTCTCCAGTATGAGTTCTCTTGTGCCCCGTTAAGTGTGATGATCGAGAGAACGTCTGACCACAAATATCACACGAATAAGGACGTTCCCCAGTATGTGTTCTGAGGTGAGCCTTCAAGTTAGAACTTTGCACAAAAGCTAAATTGCAAATATCACAGACATAAGGTTTCTCACCGGTATGCGTTCTCTCATGAGCTTTGAGGTTAGACGAATTGGTGAATGGAGTGTGGCAGATTTTACAAATGTATGGCTTGTCAGGCAGGAGGCCAGCCTTCGTCTTCTTATGCCCCCTGCCAAAGTATGGCATTTCCATCGGAGGTTGCATAAAGTTAGTGTCATCGAGCAAGGAACTTTCATCTGGCACCAGCTGTTCCAGATACCTCGATGAAAAAGATTGACCGGCTTCATCATCGCCAATCTCAAGAAATTCACCCATGTCCATATAGAAGCAAGAAGACCGGATTTGATTGCCGTATTCTGATGATCTGAAAAATAGGTTTAATGTCAAATACTAACAAATTTTAATATCAAGCCAGTAGTCTTAAGAGCAAAAGCCAGAAGCTGTTATTTAAAGTGGACTTTGGTACAAAAAATTATCAATAGCGTATTATTATTATAAAACAATTGTGAGAAAGAGCAATGCATGGAACTCTAACATTTCACATTTTATTATTGGTGGCAAAGAAAATTATAATAAAGTGTCCCTCAAAATAAATCTTTTTTTTTTGCCATATAGGAATGAGCCTTTCATCATCAAATGATTTATAAAATCATACAAAAATTACAGAAAAAATAGAATTAGTATTTATGATTGTACCATACCTTAAAAAATAAAACAAAAACTTTAATGGATTGAGCCTTCTAAATATATTTTTAAACCTACAACTATTTCATGGTAAATAAGATGAAAACATGACTGAAAATAAATGGCAGAAAATTATTTCTGAGCTGAACAAACAAACTTGGATAATTGCACAGGAATAGGTACGGTAATGAAAAAAAATAGAGCAATTACGGTTTCTGACCACAGCAATAGGAGACAACAAACAAAACCAGACAGGACAATGGTCCACCATCTGTTCTCTGATATTAGCCAAAAGAAATGGGTTGCTTACAGTAATGGAAAAAAAACCTCTTGTAATTCGTTATGATTAATTTTCTCTTTGTTCTTTTTTTAAGTGAACATGACTTTTCATTATCTTGTTCAATTTTAGTCATGCTGAATCTTATCACGAATCTTGTCATCCCATAAATCTCATCATCCCACAAATCTCATCATCCCACAAATCTCATCATCACACAAATCTCATCATCCCACAAATCTCATCATCACACAAATCTCATCATCCCACAAATCTTATCATCCCACAAATCATGTTATCTCACAAAATTATGAATCACATTATATCAAACTTGGTTAATTTTAAGAATGATGTACTATCACCTAAAAAATTAGTTGCATTTGTCCAAGGTTTGTCTAAGATTGGTCAAATCATTTCTCATCACATTGCCCAAGATTTGTTTGAAATATGACCACAGTTTGTCAGAACTTTTCAATCACAGAAATTTTAAACATTGCCCCAAGACAGACAAAAACTGGGCTTAAAACAAAAATTAAACTGAAGTGAAACCAAAATAAGGGATACTGCATTGAATTCCTTTATGGTATGCATGTCAGCAAGAGCATTCCAGCACTTGATTAAACAATAGAAATTTAAAAGCAAAGAAAACACCACAAAAATTTAGCATATCTCTATTGAAAACGTTTTGAAGACCAGCTCCATTGTACGTTCAATAAATCTAGAACACAGATAAAGGCAGGAAATTAGTTCGGAATTAATAAAAAAAACACAGAAGTTAGAAATCTAAATTTACAGACAAAGGGCAGAATAATAAAGTAAGTACCTATCTATTCACAATTTCTAACGGATAAGAACTATAGGCAGCATTTAAACTAGGCTTCTCTTTAAAAATATACAATGATTACAAAATACGCAGATCAGAAGCACCAGAACTATAAGCTAAAACCTCAAAATCTGTGTCGGACATTGGAACATTGCACTGTTTGCCGTGAGTGCACACAGCCAAATGAGGAGGGCGTGATAGTAACTGCCCAGTCTTATAACTCCTCCCTCTATGCTCAGCAACCCTAGTGTAAAAGTTGCGTGCCGTCATCCCAACGTACGCAGATGCACATCATGCACAACTAGAGACGATTGCATATGAGAAGGAAGGATATCTTTGTACCTAAAAAACGAACTCATTTTGAAATTATTCACCAGTAAGATACAAAGATTAATGTCCGGGAAGTATTTCATAAACAAAACTTTTAATTCTCTTGACATAACTTTGGACGCATGGCCAAAGTATGGAAGAGAAACACAACTTTTGCAGTAGGGTCGCTGAGCATAGAGGGAGGGGTTATAGGACTGGGCAGTTACTATTGCGCCCTCCTCATTTGACTGTGCGCACTCACGCCAAACAGACTGAAACAGTGCAATGTTCCAGTGTCCGACACAGACTCTAGGGTTTTACCTTATAGTTCTGGTGCTTCTAAGCTGCGTATTTTGGAATTACTGTATATTTTTAAAGAGAATCCTAGTTTAAATGCTGCCTATAGTTCTTATCCATTAGAAATTGTGAATAGATAGGTAGGTACTTACTTTATTATTCTGCCCTTTGTCTGTAAATTTAGGTTTTTAACTTCCATTGAAGAGGAGCATATTGCTCCAATAATGATGAAATACTGTACTTAGACATAATAGCCATTATGAATTGTCCTAGCAAGAGGAGCATATTGCTCCTCCTGCTTAATCTTAGATTATTAGGTTCTTACTTTTCATTCCTGGCACTTTGGTGTATTGCTTACTTTAGGTTATGCTTCCTAATATGGTTTGCTCTTTATATTTAATTTAGGGCTTTTGTGACGGTTATTATTAATGAATTTTTCCTTCCCTTGTATTTGTTTCAGGTGTTGTTGTTCTCTATCAATAATTCACTAGTTAGAGCATGCAACTTTATGCAATGTCTGAGAAGTTCAAGTGCTTCTGACTTAACATCATGTTTGAAGTGTAGCATGCACTATTAAGAGTCTCAGTTAAGTTTAGTAAGCACACCACTTATCACGCTTAGTGATCCTTGTCTGCACCTAATTGCTTGCCTCACCTGCACCCATTGCCAGAAGATCCCTGGAAGTCATTGCCCTGGAAGTCATTGTCAACCCATTCCTGCTTGCTGAGCAATGTAGGTGCTCCCTAAGGGTGAGTTGCTAAGACTTGATCAACTCAAGAATAATAATATACCTTTCCTTTTCAATCTCTTGCACTTAATTTACTGCAATAAGACTTGCTTATTACTTTGTTACCTGTTTAATGTCACCTTGTTCCAGTTTTGAATTGCTTTATTCACTTTCATGATTGTTTTTACATTGAATTTGAATCATTACCACTTTTAGATCTCATATCAAGTGTTTGCCTTGCCATACTGTACTTTCTTTTCTTGTCTTGCTACGTTGCTTGGACATTTGTCCTGTGTTCTTGCTGATTTGTGCATTATTGCTTGTTTTAATCCAAACCAAAATACTCCTGATTTGAAGAACACATCCCCTTTAACTGCCCTCAAAGACCATAGACTCTAGTCCCGTTATTTTGTTAACTTGGTAGGAGCAGTCGGTGTGGGACCCAGCTGGCATGTTGTTGAGGAGACCTGGAGCCCAGACTTGCCCAGTCCTGACCTTCCTGCCCTGAGTCTTCTCATCTTCCAAACTGCAGCTCCTTGAAGATCACCTTGCTGAAACTCATTGTTTAAATGTCAACCCAGGCTTTGTTATCATTACTTAACCAACTGAGCTAGCTGCATGTTAGTCCTGTTCATGAGCAAGTCTTTAGCCATTTCATTTGGATACACTTGTTTTAAACTCCTATTTGCAAGTCACTACGAATACCTGCCTGATGTTAACTCTTTCAAGTACAATGGGGCTTAGACTTTCAGACCACCAGTGATTTAGTTAACCAGTTGTGCAACCAACAAGTGATGCGATTGTAGTGGTTTAATTATTGGCAGATAGTGTTAGTAGATGACTTATTCATATGTGTGCCCATTATTAGCACCCATCGCCTTCAATTCCACTATTGTTTACTAGAATGAAACATTGATATTGGTGCTTGTTTTCTGTAGTTCACTAGTCAGTGATCATATTCAACCAAGGCTCTGTTTTAATATGCTTGTTTAGCCAGAGACAGACTTTCTTGCAGGTAGTTAACAAACCTTATTGATAGATTAGTCTTGTGACCAAGTTGAATAAGGACCCTAATCATTATTAATATTTAGCCAATGTAACCCTTCTTTCTTGTCCTATTGCTAATGTCTAGGTTTCTTTAACTCCCTTGGAGACATAGTGAGTGTCCTGACAGTCCTTGCTTCTCTTGAGGTTCCTGGTTCCTGCTACCCAGTACAGTATCACCTGTGGTCAGTAAACTTCTGTGGAACCTTTCTACCAGACTGGTAAGTACCTGGGGTGTCGTTGTGAGGGGGAGTGCTTGGGTGTGCCTGTGGTGTCTGTGAGAGTGATGCAACTACACCGCATTAGTGCTATACATCAGGGTGATCCATGGACCAGGTAAAGAGTGCTCTTCCAGGGCTAGTATATGGTTGAGAAATCACCATAATTTATCGTTATGTCTTTTCCAGGACCTTTATTTTTCTCCGTGCCAACCAAGACTTCTAGGCTATTGCTTATCTTACTGTAATTTTGATTCCCTTATGTCACAGGTTAGGATGTTCTGTTTAAAGTTATTGTTTACTGCAAAGTTGGACCATATTGTAAAATTCGGCTCTTGGACAGAATACTGCAGTCACCACTGAGGGATTTCCCTCTGGAGGGTAGTTACCTAGCTTATCCTGTGAAGGATATTTGGTGCCCTTGGGATTATCCTGTACCAGTGGCTCTTGACTTGGTTCTTAGCTTAAGTATAGTGTTGTTTAGGAATGACCTGTGTTTCATTGTCCCAAATTTGTTCTCAGGGTTGGAGGTAGGCTTAGCTAGGTATTGTATCTTAGGGTGATTGAGCTAATCTTCACATAGCTTTTGTGAACCCCTGTTGACTGGACCACAACAGTGCTGTAGCCTGTAAATATTGAAAACCATGTTAATGTAACTTATGTAAGAGCTCTCAGTCTTGCATCTCTTGTGCATTATAGTAGACTCATCATAGTGGCAAAGCAGAGAGTTTTTTAGACTCTCACTTGAGTTCATTTTCAAGTCCTATAAGTAGACCAGTAAAGTAGGCTATCATGGATACCAGCCTTATCATACATAAGAAATTGGTTGAAATCTTGAACAAGTGATACCGTCAACCGGGGCTACTCGGGACGGGCGGGGTAACTCGGGACAGTCCTCCGACACGGCGTAAAACTGTTTTAGTAGCAAAACTAATTGGAATATTGCAAAACTAAATATAGTGGCGTAAACATCAACATTTTTCCTATCTATGTAGTAGGTATAAAGGAAGTTCAAAAATACTACATTCACTAGCTTTGAAAAATTCCTGAAAAAAATGGTAAAAAAACTATATTTTGAAAAGTTACTTCTGCTAAGGTCTGTAGTAAAAAATATATTCACCGTATTGAACCTCAGTTATCAAAGGCTCCAGTTAAGAAAACAATCAATTAAAAACAAAGAATATTATACATTTACCTCGCTGAGCAAAAAAAAAGTTCACTTATCGAAAAATTAGTGCATCATCAGTGATCACAAAATTGTGCATAGAATGTCATATTTAGAATTGTGCACCAGGCATCATAGAATGAAAAGTAATTGACCAAAACTATGATTTATTTCTCCCAAACATATGATGGTTGTCACTAAAACATTCCTCTGTGTTTCAGGTATATTTTTCAAGATCTTTTTAGCGCATTTTCTCATTTACGGAAAAAATGCACTATTGTGCTTGCCATGTCCGTCTGTCTGTCTGTCTGTCCGTCCGTCCGTGACCGCAAGTTTTCGTCAACGAGAAAATGCGCTCTCTGTCACTCAATGCAACGAGTACTGAGTTTTATTTTTTTATAGTAAATTCACTTAACCCAATTAAAATGGTGTGAAATTACAAGCCATCCTTTAAGCTTACAGATACAGAAAAAATGCAATAAGGCTGCTGATATGAAGCTTGCAGTGGACAAGGTTGTTGTAAATGCTCAATGGCATGTTCATGGATGCATGAATATCCCATCAATAATATGGTACTGTCAACTGGGATGACTTTGGCCACTGGGTGACTTGGGCAATGTTTTTGATTTTGTTTTGCAAACAAAAGCAGGGTCATAAACGATGGCCAAAGTCACTCTGGCGTTTATGACCTTGTTTACGACCCTGGCGTTAGGACCCCGTTTTTGTTTGCAAAACAAAATAAAAAACGGGGCCAAAGTCACCCCAGTTGACGATAATTAAGGTTTATGGTAATATCATATCAATAAAGGAAAAATGAATAAAAATCACAGAAAATGTCATTTATTCTACCTCTACATCATCATCATCTACAATAAAAGAGGAGGACTTCAGAGTACTGTTAGTAATGGATGAGTACACTCTGCATGCTTTAAATATTTTAAAATGAAGTTATATTCCAAGTGTCCCTAGCAGCCCCGTTCGAAGGGGCTAATCGGGACACTCTTTTTTTTTGCTTCTGACACCTTACAAATGGCATATGGAATTTTTTGACAATGCCATTCGATAGCCCTCACAAGGAGCTATAAAATGAGCCTAAACTTGTTTATGAAATGTTTCATCGTAAGAAGTTATTAACAGTTATTAACAAAAAAATGTTCAAAACTGTCCCGAGTAGGGTAAACGCGGTATATTCCGACATCGTAGGTAATTCCGTCACCTCTCCAGCTTTTCCTTTATATTAAGCTTTNTGTATAAGAGACAGGCATAACATAAGATCTAATAAGCACGAACGTAACACCTCTGGCTAGAGGCGGGAAAATGATGCATTGTGAAAAAAAAGTCGCGCTAATCAAAACTGGCACCGCGTAGATCAAGGGTAGGTAACAAATTTTTTTTCCGCGTTAATCAAAACTGCGGTATTCAAAACCGTGCTAATCAAGGGATTGCTGTATAGGGATTTGGTAGGTTTCCATTCTAAAGGCTTTTTAATAAATATGGCAACATTTTGTGACGTTTCATTGTTGCTGACGCGTAGTGAAGTGTTTTGAGAGTCATGTGAAGGCAACAGAACTTACGTAACGCATATGGTTTTTTTATAGTTTTTCATTTCTCGATGCGTCCTTAATGTGTCGGAATATACCGCGTTTACCCTAGCCCCGGTTGACGGTAAATCAAAAACGAACTGATTCTAAAAAATCTCTAGTTTGCCACTATTGTCACTCAGTTCTCAGTCAGTAGATAGCAATAATGGGAAAACTTCTACCATTAGGGCCAGGATTGGAATTTTTCTATTTGTTTCTGAAATCTCGCGGCTTCAACATGACGAATTTTCAATACATTTGGAATCTTGCGGCTCGATATCGCACTTTTGTTAACATTTGGATAGGAGGTAATTCATCTGACGGAAATCTCGCGGTTTCAGAAATGGCGGGAAACCTCTAGTTTCGGCCCTAAAGGCAGATGTTTTCAATGCTTGATTAGGGCAGCGACTAAAGCTTTCCCGCCATATCTGGAACCGCAAGATTTCTGTATTTTTCAATTTACTCATTTAATTGACATTCTAGCTAATCAATTTCTTATGTATTCTAATTCTGGTATCAAAAATACTTAATAGGCCTAGCCTAGTCTACTTATCAGTATAACTTATAGGATTAAAAAATGAACTCCTTTACCAATTGCCACTATACTGTGTAATTTATAATGTAAAGCCCATCTCTAATCTCTATTATAATTGATTAGCTAATTCAATGAAATAGTAGCAAGTAGCACTCAGCAGTAGTGCAGTACAGCACGCTCAGCTCCGGCCAGGCAAAATCATAGTGGCAAACCAGAGCTTTTTTAGAATCAGTTCATCTTTAATTTCCTCATTTACTCAAGATTTAAACCAATTTCTTAAGTATGATAATGCTGGTATCCAGGATACTTTAATGGTCTACATATAGGACTCAAAAATGAACTTGAGGCCGTGAGGGAGAGTCTAAAAAACTCTCTGCTTTGCCACTATGGGCAAAATTCTATAAAATTTTTGGGTACGGTACTGCAATGATATTTTCACTATCATTTAAACTTTGACCACGTACCTAGGTAGGTACTAGACTACTAGGTATCACAGTGACACAGTTCACAGCTATAATCAGCCTAAATCAGGCAGAGATCAGACATCATCATTCATCAGAGAACCAGTTACTCTGTCCAGTTCATTTACTGTTACTACTTAGTACTTACCTACTCAGTTTAGACTAAACTGGCTTCTGGCTACATAAAATGATAAAGCATGACTTCTCACAGTCTTTTGAGATCCAAAGATGCCCAAACTCACCAAAGGTGTGTCCGTGTGTAGCCTTCTTACAGATTTTTGTCACTTACCAGGTAACCAGGAGACGAAACTTTTTATAAAATGAAATGGAACACTTGTTTCAGAGGCACTTCCCACTCCCAGCCTCACCTTCGTCGAGGTAAATTAGAAAATTTCCAAGCTTCATCGAGAGACAAGATATTAGTGTGAACATCAAGGCCACGGCAATTCAACATGCGAATGATGGGATCCAGATCCGCATCTCTCGTTATTAATTTTTTAAAACTTATAATAGTGAAAATATATATATAATTCTACACCGTTAGCGGACAAATCATAAATTTATCAGAGTTTGTTAGGAGGATAAAAAATAAATTTTGATAGCCGATTTTTAATAATATAACTTGTATTAATAATTAACTAGTTTATGAAAGCAATGACGTGTCTTAATAATCTTAAACATACAACACGGTGATAAAGCCAACTCAAGAATTAATCGTAATTACGACTTTCAGTCAAACTTCAAACCATAACGACACAAAAAAATATGCATTCGTAATAAAAGCATTGTACTGAAAACTTCTTGTCTAACAATGCAATGTTGGCAAACCCAACGTAGCATCAAACACCAATTTATGAAATTTATTATAAAATTTCATAAATAGACAGTTGCCAAATCGAATTGAGATCCACCGATTTTTTTAGGACTCCCATAATTTTGGAGCACTAAAAACATGTAACGAGTGTCACGAATAGCATAGCGAGAAAATAAACGATATTGTTAAGTTCCACTAAATTCTAATGAGTACAGTTAGAGTTTACTATCTGTAACGGCTCAAGTAGCACCTAATAGTAAAACTTCTGTTAATGCACGCATAACCAAATTGACGACTTACGGGTGAGATGCTAAGACTACAATGCTAATATTGTCTAACAGGGGAATGCGCAAATAAATCTGCAAATCCATCTCCCTACAAACAAAGATTTTATCAACAACTTGTGAGTTTAAATCTTGTCCACTGAAAAGATGGAGCATATTTGCTGCATTTTTCGATTGTAGAGCGTTAAGGGGCTCCCCGGTTAAATTTGCTCACCCGATATTTCTAACAAACCAAATTTTAATGCGTCTACATATGAAAATATAAATTACATTTGCGCGCTTAGTTCACATTTTTTACTAATATTCTGCGAATCAGCTATTCATAACCTACGTCCCGCTGCAAAGACAGTAATACTCAGGTAGTCTCCGCATAAAAAATTAACAGATGTTGGAGGGACTTCCATATTCTGGCTGTCTCACAAACATATTTCATATGACATGTAGTGCAGCCCAATGGCGAGAAGAGATCATACAACACTGGTCGAAGAGAATGCCGACGCTTTTTAGTTCACAGCCTCGTGTGAATCTTGAAATTCGACCGCATCAGAATAGTCAGAACCTCCGGAACTAGGCTCCGCATCGGCAGGTCGGTCCTGCGTTTTGAGCATAGTAAGCAACCTCATTTCCCTATCAGGTGCAACGCTAAGTCTCATCCCATTCTCTCTTCGTGAATGACGCAGGCTCTTTACTCTTGATAATAACGACGCCACGTCGTTGATACCAAGCTGCCGTTTCACGATATTCTCTTTCTTTCTCTGGACTGCCAACGCGAGTTCATCTTTTATAGTTTCAAGGCAGTGAAGAGTGTTGAATTCTGTGAGTTTCGTCAGCCGGTTGAATTGAATATCCTCATACACGAAGTTCGTGGATGCATAAACATTGGTTTTGTCATCGAATATTTTGAAGTTGGCAAAGTCCAGCTCCTCGTCTGTCGTGCGAAGTTCTCCTGATGAAAAAAATTGTATCGGTTCTTTCTGACTTTTTTAATTCAGGTTTTCGAAAGAGGTCAAAGTAACAATAGCTATGAACGCTATCGATCAATACTGAATACTGAAGGGACAACGCATACAAATATTGAGTAGGAATCAGTGTGCGAATATACGCTTCTCAGCCATATGACATGCACAATGCTCACCACAATCGCTACAATGAAGTGTTAGATAAAATGACAGATCAGTAATTTCAATTGATAAAAAAGGCTGGCGAAATAAGAGTTGTTGAGTTCCAAGAGCGAATTTTTATGTATAAGAATAATTATGAACTCACCAGGTGCTTTAAAACTTCTGAAGTGGTGGTTCACTAACGGGAAATGCAGGATGACGGGGCAGAAAGGGTCATCTTCGTTCTTAAAAACGTACACTTCTCTGACGTAGCCGTCGTCTCTATACTGCTCCGCCTTCCATAGCAAAAATTATCGATGTCAGTTATTATTTTCGGAAATTATACTATAGACCAATGAAGTTGAGCAATCAACTCCACACAACAAATGGGTTATAGATCTGATCGAGGGCTCAATCTGATGCGAAATTGCGCATATTCAAGATTGAACTAACACAAGTATAATAATTGCTGTGGAGCCAGTAAGATTTGATTAGTCTGCAGGATCAATCTGACTTAGGCATTGAGCTATCAGTATAAAATATAAATATGAACAAATCCGAATCAGAAAATATAGAATTATAGTAACTAGCATAGCCAAGAAAAAAAAGTCGTAATTGGACCCATTATTTTCACGATAGTCCAAACTTCTGGTTGAAATGGCCATCAAATAGGTTTAAAAAACAGTAAACAAACAGAAAGTTAATATTCATCTAAATTAAAATCCCGGGGCTACTCACCAATTTTTCAACTGGTGGAAAAGGCACTTTGTTTTGGCAGGCCCACTTTTCAGCGAGGATGAGCTCCTTGAAAGGTAAAGTGTTGTCAGTTTTTCTCATGGAGAAATCAAATGAAAGGTAGATGTCAACCGCGCGCTGTGGCCGCAGCAACAGGGGATATGGAGAGTTGAAGGCCAAACCTGAGTCCACAATAAAGAGTTTTTTCGCATGATTGTCAAGCTGCTGGTACCGACAGGCCGCTCCAACTGTAGAGATAAAAACGTGTAAAAAGAACATTTGCTTTGGAAAAGCAGGGCGCAGTGCATCCATTGGAGCGATCTTCAACCGATGGTTGAAACTCATTTGAAAATTGAATAAGGCTTCACGATAACCTTTTTCTATGTTATTTCTTAGCATCGACTGCTGAATTCAAGTTTACCATTAAATAGGGTAATTAGCAACAAAATATCCCGGGTTAAGTTAATTGGAAAAATGTACATTACTTACTGCCTTCAGCGGTTAAGTCATCTGAGTCGTCTTCAGCGACGTCAGCGAAGGGGGAGATGGGGAACGAGTTGCGGAGGGACAACCCTCTGAAGGGGTTGAGGATCTCACCGGCGCGCCCAGCGCGGCTGTTGAGCATGTTGGTGCTTGTCATCAGCGACTCCTTCAGGCCGCTGAACAGACCAGCCTTCACTTGCTCGCGCTTCGCACGCCGCGTTTTTCTGGATTAAGAGGTTTGTTCATTCGTGCGCGTTCGTTGCTATCAAATGCAAGGATAAAACTATCCAACTCTATTCACTGGGAAGAGTTCATATGCAGTACCAAAGAAAATTTGCATAGTCGATAGAAATAACATGATCCGAAAACGAACTTACTAAAGATAATTTCTTGATCAACATTCATATTTGTTTGTTTTAAGACAAATTCTATCAAAATGTGTTATCAAATTTATTGCATTCATACTGTTCTTAATTCAAATCTCACTAGTTTAATAGGCAAACCTCCTTTCTGTCCACTTGTTGTTGCCACTGCGGGCAAAGCTCAAGGGCGGCACGTCGTGTGCTCGAGACTGCCTCCTGAGGGCGGGGGCGGCTGCCGAGCCCTTGATGGCGCCCTTACGTTGAAGTCTGCTTCCAGAGGGAGAATCGCTGTCGGCATCTTCCGTCACGCTTCCAGGATCACTGACAGAACTCAATTTCTTAGAATTTTCTTTCGATTTCTTGCGACCACTAAAATCGAAAATGAATGTTTTCTTGGGTCCTACATCAGCGCTCTGTGATTTTCGTTCAGTGAATTTGAGAGGGTTTAGCAGATTACCAAGCGATGTTTTACGGTTTGGGGTGAACTTTGTTTCGTTTTGTGCCTCTTTGCCATCGGGGGAATCTTCACAGGTTGATATTTCAATGTGATTGAACATCTCAGGGAGCTCAGTCGTGGCTTGACTGCAATCTCGGTATTCGTCGTCAAAGCTGTCATCGTCCTTCCCAACGATGTCATCCTCGTCTTCTGTATCCGATTCCGTGAGCTGTTCTTTCAACTCTTCGTCATATTTTTCTGCAAAATAAAAGTTACTTGTAACGAAATGAACGCTAGATTAGACAAAACCGAAAAATGTGGATGCAGAAGGACGCATATAATATGAATGCATTGGAAACTGAAGTCTAGAATGAGACGAAATTTATCTTAACTGTAATTGATACTCCAACTCAGTGATAACAATTATGTATTCACTTTATGATAGGAAACCTTGATTGATGTCCAAACGAAAATTTAATCAGAAACCACAATGGACTTGATTTGCATGTTGTCATAATAACTGGGAATTACATGATTTATTATTACTATAAAAGCGGAAAGAAGCATAGCTTTTACCATGGATTTCTCTCTCAGAAGAACCGCTCACGTCTTCCCTCATCATCTGTACCATATCCTTGTTGTTGGAACCCTCCAGCACCAGGCGCTTGATCAGGACCGTGAAGGCGCTCCCCCAAACGCCTGACAATTGCGATCATCAATTGAGATCATCAAGATTTTGTCATTTAAAATCTGTTCACAAATTTTCAAACTTCATTAGACCATCGTGACAGTATTTAAAATTAAAACAAATTGTTTGTAAAATTTTACAAGGCTGTTGAAAATTTTCTCGTTAATTAAATTTTAGTTGTTAACTAATTATTCAATATTCTAAGCATTAGAAGTCAATTAACCTTGTAGGAAATGAAGTGGTGATTCTGGGTGCTGTTTGATCAACTTGCCCACCATGAACTTGCTACCGAAGTGTTCGGTCTTCATGAAGGTCCCGTACTTGGCAATGCCGATCTCGTACGGCGAAAATTCTACCCATTCCTGTGTTTAAAACTTTCATAAGAGCGCTTAAAAGTAATTTTAAAATACATGCAGAGCCTGGAAAAATAATCTGCAAATAACATCAGAAATATGTATATACCAGATTAAACGATACCAATAAATGTGCCTCCAATTTTTTTTCTATTGTCAAGTATGTGGAAGTAAAAGGATGAGGTAAATTTTCAAGGAGAATGAAAATAAATGTCTGACCTCGCTAATAAATTCCGATGATACTTCCAGCAAGAAAAAATAATGAACCATTTCAACTCGGCTCAGAAAGCAAAAGAAAAAAAATTACAAACAGAACGACATAGACACGTGCATTAACTAAACTAAAATTCCTTTAACAACTAACACAAACATAAGGATAAGAGTATCAGGTGTAAACTAAAGAACAGGGAATAAATTAAAACGTAATGACTTAATGAAACAATAACTTAGGTACGAGACTCACGGAGAAGGCCTTGCAGGACACGGATCGTTTAGCGTGCAAGCACGTGTACAGAGGGAAGGGCACGGTGCCCTGGGCCACGATACGCCGCTGGTCCGTCAAGCGTATGTTCTTACGCTGAGTAAAGCAACAGTTTCGTGAGCGTATGTTCTTACGCTGAGTAAAGCGACAGTTTCGTGAGCGTATGTTCTTACGCTGAGTAAAGTAACAGTTTCGTGAGCGTATGTTCTTACGCTGAGTAAAGTAACAGTTTCGTGACAGTAGATAAAGAAATACGATTAATAAACTCTCGTGAATATAATAAAATGATAAAAAATAATGAAGTAACGTGAATACAGGAGAATCTTAAAATTAATAAGGTCTAATGGGAACAGATGAATACAAACAATTTATAGAGTCTTTTGAAAAGAGAGAAATAAATCCAATTAATAGAGTCTAACAAAACCATTTACTGAAATGAGTTGGACGAATAGATAAAATCTTCAGAATTCAGGAGAATAATAGAAATTAATTGAGGCTCGTTAATAGAAAAATTATTGATTACGTTTAATGAGAGTCAATCGTGTTTGGAAAAAGTCAATAATGCATCATCGTTCGGCTTGAATGCATAATGCAGTTTGCTGAAGTAAAATTTTCCTTAGTTGATAAACTTGTGAATGATATTTAAACAATTCAGATTATTTGAATTGGCAATAATTGTGCAGGTAACGACAATAATAACTGAATAAGATAATATTTAACTCATCACTGTTCAATAAAATGGAAACTTAAATGGGATTAATTTTGAAGCAGAGCGCACATTTTCACATATTTGCATTGAAGAGAATTCATATTTTAATTTCTAGAAAAATTATATATCTGAAGAACACAAGAACCCACTCTTACATGCAAGTGATAGGCTAGAAGTAGGTATCATTCAGCAGAAACTTACCGCCAACAAAAAATTGCCGAATTGTAAAAAAATATAGAACATTTGCTATACACATAATTAAAAATATAAATGACGTACATGTAGCTCATATAATTATAGTAAAAATTAAAACTATTTAGCATGAGAAATAATCACCTCCTTGAGAAGCACGTCTCCCAACAAGTGACCGAAGAAGTCCGTGAATGAGATGGGCTGACCGTCTCTGTACTTGCGCAGCATACTTGTCACGTAGCCGAGGCTGTTGGTGAGCTTCCACTTCCAGTCCGACGTGACCGACTGCCGCAGCTGCTCCTGGATCACTTCGGGAGACACGCCCGGGAAGCCGCCATGTGAGTATAAGTTGGAGATATACCTGGAGATAAACCATGGAAATAAAAACGATAAATAGACAATACTATACTTGATATATTGATAAACCATTAAAATATAGGCTTGAGAGATGCCTGAAAAATATAATATTTTTGAATAATTTAACCAGATAATCAAGATATAATCTAAGAAAAAAACGAAAAAGATTTATTAATCAGCTGACCAGGAAGAGCCGGAGAGGCCTGAGATGTACGTAGCGCAGTCCAGCACGCCGGTCTCGTGTAGCGCCTTCACGGCGCCGCTCAGACACATCATCGCACGGAACCCTCCGCCCGAACCCAGCACTGCCATGATGGGGACCTGGGCACACAGTTGCAATACTAATACCTGGGCACACAATTACAATACTAATAAACCTATGTAAGCTACAGAAAGAAGATAAAGTACTGAACTGATCTAGAATTTGTATTACCAGAAGATAATCCTGCAGTCATTGTACGACTCCAGGACCAAAACAAATCGAATTCGTTACAAACTTGAATAACTGACACTGACATATAAAAACACTCATGCGGCATTGAAAAAGCCATTTATATGTGCATTCTCTGCCATGACTAACCTGCTTGTCAGTGTCCGGGGCGCGGTCTCCAAGAAGGGCGTGTAGGCCCTTGAGGACCTTCTGACGTCTGATCTGTAGGAACTCGCGCTCCTGCTCGCACAGCGCCAACGAGAACCGCAAGTCGGGGTTCTTGCTGCAACATTAAATGATATCAGGTAGTTAATATAGCCGTACTATTAAAAATAGTTAAGAGTTCGTAGCTCTGTCATTCAGCCACATGCGACTTTTCCTGTTAAATCCACTAATCGCAGTTAAAAAAATTGCCCCTACTTGTACATGGACAGCTACGTGTACCCAAGGTAGTTTTGATAACACGGCCCCAGTTATAAATGTACTATTTAGGAGCTTTATTCTTTCAGAGGAGGTAAAACTTGATTGTAAGCGAAGGAAAACGTGTTTGAAGTAGCAAGCAAAAAAACTTAACTGGACCACTAAGTTACCAAAAAAGTTGCTTGCATTGCTGATGCACTTATCGTGTCATCGTTGAATTGTTTATGAATCGAGGGCAAACCACGATCATCCTGATGTTCTCCATCAGAACTCGCATAAGTTGAAACGAACTTCATTCAAGAATTCGCAAGTTCTGAGATAAAATATGGGAACGTACCGTACTGAACGATTTCTTGCTTCATTAAACCGTTCTAAATAATTACACCCGATAATCGTGAAATAAGCTAAGATATACCAAAGAATATACATATTATATAAAAAAATAAATTAATTATCATTAATATGCATAATATATATGCATATTAATGCATATTATTATATATGCATATACAATATGCATATTATATATGCATACTAAAAATAACAAAACACATGAAAATCATTGGTTTTTCGTAAAGAAAATCTCACTTTTTAGTGAGGAGAAGCGTAGCGTAGACTTTTGAGCCTCCAGGGAAGAGGAAGACGTGGCCTACAGGAACGTCGTTGGTGAGCGTGTTGACGATGAACGTATCTTCACCCAACGTCTCGTCCAGAGTGATGTTCGCGTCCATTAACGTCACATCTAAAAGAAACAAGTATGTTATGTTCTTAGAGATGAATCGTATTTTATGAATCGTATTTTAAGTTGCTTCACATCAAACGGATATATATTTTTATATCTAAGTGCATTGATTTGACTTCATAAAATATAAAATGTACAAAAAATAGACACAAATCTAAACTAGTCTTCTAACAAATAAATCTTTACCTACATTACTGTACACTAATTATTTTTAGGAATGACACACAAGAATACATACTGTACATACAATACGTGCCACAAAAAAATACATAGAATTTGTTGCTTCTTTGAAAGCGGATAAATGTACAAACTTAACAACGCCTGTTCAATGACAGATTTTAATTCGGCACAAGATTCATGACATCGAATTTCCGTCCGATCTTAGCACAAGTGTAGCGAACTTACGCAGTATGTGCTCGGCCGTGGGGTCGAGGTAGAAGTGAAAGGTCTCCTCCCACAGCGGCACGGTCGTGTTATCAAGTTGCGTCGTGCGCTTCGAACTGTTCGACGAGCCCGGTACCTTCAAGATGACGTACGGATCCGGAGTGTCGACTGTAGTACACACGCAACAATCAAATAATGATTCCCTAAAGAATAATATTCCAGAGTTTTGCTGAGTCCACATTCTGAAATGTGACATTCGGCTGCATAAATTGTTTTTACTATCAGTAATGTTACCAAAATTTGCAATTTCCAGCCAGTAACGACCAATTACTCACTGTAATCTTGCAGGAGGCTGCCTTTTGTGATGCCTTCGCCTCTGTGTATGGTTATTGTGAAGTCCAGACATGACTCGTGCTCCACCTGCGTGGAGTAGGGGAACATTGAATTAAAAGTAGGGTGCATATTGGAGGCAAATTATTATTCATCCTAGCTGAAGGAGCTGCTCCCAATTATATCAGTAGGAATCAATACCCTCTTCACAGGCTAAGCAACTATAAAAAAAAATATTCTTACTCATAGGAGAGTAACAAATTGATATAGAGATTTAGTTGTGCGATACCAGAACAGCTGGAGAATATAACGTCTCATATTCAACATCGAAAAAATATTAGGTATATAAATAAAATAATTCTCAGGAGTAGAAGGGTCGATGGAGACTGATCACCTACGTAGGTGCACGTTTCCTGTGCGTCCTGATAGAGGCGTGCTCATAGCAGCGCCTTTTTAAAATAAGATTCTGGTTTCACACACGTGTCAACAACGTCTAAAAATTTGTATTTAATTTTCAGCAAAATGTACATTGCACTTTAAACGTAGAAAATTCACAACAAGAAAAAACAATCACTCAATTTTTAGATGATTTTTAATTACTATAATTTATTGAAGAACAACATTCAAGTTAATTTTCCCTGTTAAGTGTTTTCAATTGATCCCCCATTTACCTTGGACAAATAATCGCAAAGAAAATTCTAGACATGCCGTCGGAGGCTGAAGTGCTCAGACAATGACAAGAAAAAATCAACGCGAGCGACTTATTTGAAGGGAAACCCAGAGCAGTCGATGCACACGTCAATCACACCATTCACGCATGACTCATGATTTCATTATCATTATATCATCCCACGTATACAGAGTGGCTGCCGCCCATCTCCTGAACAAACACGCACAACGCTCATGACAAACAGGCACTGCTCACACGGTCAAACACGCACAACATTCATGACAAACAGGTTCATGACAAACAGGCACTGTTCACACGGTCAAACACGCGCAACGCTCATAACAAACAGGCGCTGCTCACACGGTCAAACACGCGCAACGTTCATGACAAACAGGCACTGCTCACGCGGTCAAACACGCGCCGTGTTCATGGCAGTGAGAAAGAAAGCAACCGCTGAGACTAGCATGAATTGCATCACCTGAGCGACGGCGGGGGCGTATGCATACGAGTACAATATTCATCTACATAAATGATGCAAGCAGTGACTAACAACAAGGTGTGACGTGAGTGTTGTGACCGTTAACCAGGCGTGGGAAATGATTTTCATGCATAAAACAGGCAACTGAATGAATTGGTCGAATGGTATGTTCTATCCTGTTAAAGCAGTAAAGAGAAAATACAAAATTTTCTAAAATGTTATTGAAGAAACATGGAGTCATTTTTACCCGAATGTTTCTGATTGTAATGACAATGAACTTTCCCGAATTACACTCACGATTTCAACATGTACGATAGCAGGAAAGGAGCATGAAAAATGGCGTTAATGAACTGACAGGAAAGTCAGGAAAGTCGAGAGTCGCACCTTAACGATAGACAAACAGTGTAATAGAACGAATTCAGCGGAAAAAAAACAATAGAAAATGACGGGTAACTTGCTTACATAGTCCTGCGCAGGAAATGCTTTTATGGTACCTGAAGCGCAAGACTAAGCGCAAACTCAGGCTAAGAGGCAACTTTATGAAAAACCGAGTAGATATTTGTGGATGAAACCATGAACGCACGAACAAAATTAGCTACTTTTCTTGGAGTCATTCTATTTGAAACTTTGTGTAACCATACAAGAAAGTAAAGCTTCCATGTTTCGCAACAGAAACCGTATCATGCACGCACAAATTTTCACGTTTTGCCCAGTCACGACCACACGTTTTCACTACCAGCGGCACGTCCTGATCTTTACTGTTAGATCACACATGATAAAACACTTCACAATCTGACAAAGGACGTCGAAAAATTTATTTGCACTGAAAAATGTAGTCATAACTTTTTCACAGGCATACATAAAGCGATAATTTTACAAAACCCGCACTTTAGCGTTTATAAGCTGGAAATTTTTTCATGTAACGTTATGGAAGTAAAATAAATTTTTTCAAGAAAAATTATTCAACAAATTGACCAAAAACATTCGATGTGAAATATTGAAAGCAAATCGAATTTATTTATAAAAATCAACAGAAATTACAACAATGTAAACGAAAAAAGTTCTTCTACGAGGAAAGTTTTTAAAGTGTATTTACACTTAAAGAGGAATTTTTCGCATGAAAAGGAAAAAAATTCTGGAATTAAAAAGTGATTACGGACTACAACTGAAATGATACCATAAATAAAAACCTGCAGCCATGAAGCATGACGTACCTCAAAAACTTGGAAAGGGTCCAATCTGAAAAGAAAGAAATTAAACATTATTGACCGAATTTAAAGATTGAAATTGGCACAATTAGTGCAAAAGATTTGTCATTAAGAACGGGTACAAAGTGATAGGAAAAATCTAGAGGTTAGCAGTGGGAATGTATCAAAATAGACCATTTTCAAGAGATATTTTGTAAGAATTTTAATCAACATAAGCGACTTCAATATAAAGTAATTGCGAAAATCCCATCTATAGAACTCTTGTAAAACAATGCTTAATGATACTTAATGTATCTCGAATCGAATAAAATTGTATAGTTCAGTTTTCCCTTTTGGTGTCAGAATTACGGGTGGACTTGAAATTGATGGTTGCTTGTTCATATAATAATCAAAGTGAACTGTAATATTCGCATAGTTTAAATTAGAGCATGCCGGCTGCTGGACCACGAAGTCGGGTTAACGATCGCAACTCCGTTATATTTATCAGGGATTGATGATGGTGCTTGAAGTGGTTAAGCAGTCACGTTGAAATTGTTATGCAGCAAGCACATCCGAAAAAATAGAACGTCAATAAACAACCATATATTTTTTTCACGGAAAAAATACTCAAAATTATTCATCAGGAGATTCATAACAATGACTAGAATTCAAGTCTTATCTTCTGATTTTCAATGAAACTATATTTATATGCACGGGTAGTAGGACAGTGCCGCCGCAACAAGACATATGTACGTGTTGAGTTAGTTTCGTGACGATTTCGAAAAATTCTTTTAAAATATGTCAAAGTACATCAATTAAGCGTGTAACCGTCGACCGTACACGTGATTCTATTCTCACCGATATCCCTATCAGCCGATAAGTTTCGACTCTTCTCGCAACAAATACTCAATTTATTATAGCTATGGGTGGTTGAATCCCTGCTAAGTGACCGGTTTTCCAGACCAGCCATAGTAGGTTGAGCGGCTGCAAAGAGGAAATTGAGATACGCGGGATTTATTACGTTCATTTTTTTTTAACCGAGACTCGAGAAGAAAAAACTTAACCTTGGCACGGACCTCTTTGGAGAAAACGTTAATGTCACCGCGTCCGGTTAGCCGTTATTTCCTGCAAGTCATTTTCGCAAATTTCCGAACCAACGACGCGCGTAGAATTTTGCTGAAGCGGTGATTGATCTGATAGTAGTGTAGCGGTGTTAGGAAATCATTTTCAGCGTTAAAGACCTTTTGTTCTTTATTAATCATCAAAATATAGCTCATTGTTGCAAATGAACCATTCCCCGGTATGCAAGTTAGCTAAAAATTAATGAACCCCAAAAACAGTATGAGTGAAACGTGAATATTTAATAATACTGACTGAGCCACCAAAGACCATTGAGACACGAATCAAACGCCATCTTTTTCCTATTTCTTTAATGAAGAGGCAATTTTTAATCATGGGAGTACTGGTATTGAGTAAATCTTCTGTATTCGAACCTGAGTGTTCTGTCTGCTGCGTACTCTTTGCATTTTTTATTAACGAGCGATAGTGAAAATACAGCGATAGCAAAAATCCGTTGATAGCGTCTGATCGACAAATATGAAAAATTTTGTAAAAGAGCGATGCGAACACGGTTAAGACTCAGAACAAAATAGACAGTCCTCTTGTTCTTTCTTCCATGACCACAACCAACACAATCAGCGCATTATCGTTTATTGCTCAAGTAAATAGGAGTAACACATCGACAAAACGAAAATATATTTCACATTAAATCATCGAGTAACTTCTTGAAAAACTGGGTACATAATTCCCCATTTATGAAATAGAATATAAAACTAGTCGAGCACGATAGGAAACTGGCAATAATTCTCCAGAAACGTTCTTATCTACAAACACTTTTTTGAGCAGTCTGATCGATAAACCCCGGAATTTCCCCTGACGGTTGTTCCCAGCCAACGTTTTTGGTTCACTTGGATGCCAGCGAAGAGAATGTCTTGCATGACGCGGACTCCTTCATACAAGCTAAAAATAGGAGACCATACTTGGAAAAACCCGCTTTCACAACACCCGGAATGCTTGCTGTGCTTGGGGAAGCCCTGTGCGTTGATACCGGGCGTCTACCGGTATATGTCTCCGTGAGCAGACAACTTACGTCTTAACTATTCGACTTTCACTTTGAAGGAAAAGTAACCTTGCATCCTGCCCGTTCTAAACCATTCTTCTTCACTGCAATTAGCTGCTGCAAGGCATAGTGTACATGCTTCCTTGTTTCTCATAGGTCAGAGATTTACTTCAAACGAACGACATTAGTGTAGCAAACAACGGGAATTCAAAATACTTGCAATATATTTATTGCAGCTGCATGAGCGATGCTAATCACCTTACACAAAAAATCTCAACACCATCTTATGAGAGGAAAATAAAGCTGGAACACAAAATAAATTGCATCGGGCATAAAAAATAAAGCACCAAGACGCCAGCACTTTTTACCCAGTGACCTCGCACGTCGTTCGGTGTCGTCCTTCACGGCGAGTAGGAAGTGACTCGATTTACTTCTGTTCAACTTCTCATCATATAAATGAATTAGAATGTGCAATAAAGACTGCAGTATACTTAAGTGGGTGCATTCGTCTCTTTGGGGAGGGATGAGGCAAGCTAAGAACCAGATCGAAGAGTCTAATGTCATGCAGCAACAACTGATAGCTTCTTTTTCCTTCGCAGGATGCCAGCAGAAACACTTTCATAGAACCATTGTATTTTCCATATTAAAGCGTAGTGCCTACATGAGTATCAAACGAAGACAGCATAAGACGATTCGATTACGTACAATTTTATACATCATACGTAGAGATTAATTAGTGTCTTCTTTCAGAGTATACATACATTTTCATTCTATATATGATTGTGTTCCTCATATAAACTCGCAGTATTTTGCAACCTCAAATTATAATTGTTTAGCAAACATTTGAAATATGTGAACGGTTTTATTTAACTAATGTACAATAAATGCCAACGGCATGGTGGTATATCGCACTGGCTGACGGATATAATTATCGGCTATAAATTGGATATGCGCCACCCGGCACAAGTCCACGAAACGACCAAACACAGTATTTTTCTCGTTAATTGAAATGAATAGATTAAATTGATTGAAGGAACTTTTCGTGAATGAGTGAAATTCAATAATTAGATTGAGATATACTATCAGACACTAAAATGTCCTTTGCGGAGACGAGGTAGCGGCAGGGAGGTGCTCCCGACACAAGTCTAAACTAATTGCAAACACTATGATGTGAACAAAATTTGTGATCAGTAGCAAAAAATCAGAAACCTTTTAGTAACAAATGCAGCAATAAACTTGAAACAAACACACACACCTAAAGCTTAATATTTTCCTCATCGCTTAGATCAGTTCCTGCGGCTGGCGAAACGATAACAAGGGAGAGACGGCGCCAAATTTCTGAGGACTTTTAGGTGAACTCCCTATGTGTGTCATTGAAGCCTCGTAGACACTTAGCAATTGTCTATGCAGAGTACGAAGATTTTCCGCATTCTTTCAGCGGAAATTATTTGTGAAAAAATGACTCATATGTCCTTGTACGTTTCTTCAGTGGCAGTGGTGATCATTAATTTTTGCTATACATTTTGTATTTCTAATATTTCGCTGAATTCGGGACAAAAGAGTCTGTGTCTGTTACACCATTTGCATTAATATTAATTACCTACTAAGAAACAATAATAAGTCGCAACAAAGCGAGCTCGAATGGTCGCATTTGGAATATGCTTGCAGAACCTGGCTTTTGATAATATATAGTAAACCTCTCAACTTTTTCTTAATACCTACTGCGGAACGCCGGAATGTGATGTGATACACTGAATGTGATGTGTATGAAAATATGTTAACTTTGCATAAGTTAAGATAGAGGAAAATGTTCTACATCGGTGTTCATTATACATGCGACATACATAAGTTTGTGCCACACAAGAAAGTAGTACCATTTATTCTCTATTGATCGATATTAAATAAAAGGCATATCTTAATCAACCTTAAATTTGTAGATATTTTTTACCAAAAACTTATTTTCGAGCATACTCTCATGTGGAGTGAAAATCCCGTATGCTAACTACTAAAATGCAGGCGTTGTGGAAGGTTTGAAGACTTTGAGGGAAAACAGACGTCTTAAATTACCTGTCAATCTACGACGGGCGGTACGAAGAGATACTTAATGAGGACGACCGCTGACCATTCCTCGGGAGATCGGCCACCTGAAAGCCACCCGTAACCGCAAAAAAAAACGGCTACGATATCATATATTAAAGACTACAAGCTCGAGGGTAGCGACTGGCCGAGCTTAGAACCGATCGAGGATTTCACATGATGGTCGCAAATACCTCGCTTTCCAGCGTCGGTGTGACTTACCCGTCTGTATCCCACATAGAACTCGTGGTACGTGACCTCAGCACTTCGGTTGTGAGGCTTCGAAGATTCAATCTAGGTGGACGGGAATTCCGAAATCTGTTTTTCTTATCAACGGAATTTGTAAGAGTTTCTATGTTTCCGGACCGAAAAATGTCTGGTGACCGCTCCATGGTGTCAGAAGAGTTTAAACTTTTTTGTCCCTTGTCAAAATCTTCTCTTTCACAGGTCAAAGGTTCATCCCTACAAGTTTGTGATTCAGGAGCACTAGCGCCCATGCCGTTCACTTTCAACAACGCACTGACTTAAAAATTCATAAAAACACATTAAGAAACTGTAAAAACAGAATCCCAACACAAACGTGTGGCACAACAGTCAAATCTAATTGAAAACTACGTACGATGTGATGAAACCACTGTAGAATACATATGAGTAGAGACTTGAGTCTTTGACGGCACAAAATTTATGATTTCGCCCCACTGTAAAAATCCCGAGAATAAATATATTTAAAACACCAGCTCTAGGGACAAATTTCTCAAACCAAACTAGGTAATAGTTAATCAGGTCAGTGATTTAGCTTGATTTTAACTTCATGATATTAATCAAAACCTTCCAAACGTGAATGTTGATTCTATTTTAAACGACTATTTCACTCTCTCCGAGCGATGGTTAGAGTTCCAAAAGATGCAAGGAATGATCATGAAGATCTAATTGTCCGTAAACGTGTAATGGTGAGAGCCTGAGAGAGAGGTGCCCGGCACTCTAGTGGAACTTTGGAAGTACCTAGCTAGCTAAAGAAATGGGATTCCTAGTAACCCAACTATGGTTATTGAAAAGCAATGATAACCCAATTCATGAATAATATTTTGAAGGCATTCATCCAACAAAAAAATGCATTCATTACGCATTTGTACATAGGGCTATGGTCAGTCATTTACTGAGTAAGACAAGCAGCTCGACACCCACCCTTTGCACCAGTTCGAGTAACACTGAGAGTGAGCCACCTGCAGGCTGCAATCCTGCATGATTCTGCATGAACGTTCTTCACATCCTCACACTTCTCTTCCTTTAGCCGACCGACACATCATCCCACTACACTATTTCAAAGCCTAAATGTCTTGTCACGGGGAACTGTTAACGATTGTGATGCAATTATGGTGACGCAGTTATCTTCTCTCACTCTTGCCATGCGGTATGTCCTCCAAATCTAGGTACATATTCAACACAATACGTTCACAGCGTATGAAACATCTCATAAGTAAATAGTAGCCGAACAATTATACCGATCATTCATAAACATATAAACATTACAATGATGTTTAACATCCGCTCAAACTTCCGTTCGTTGAATCCCACGAAAATTTCAACTGACTGCTAGCTGATTGGTGGAGAACTGCGTCGTCTTCCTTACAGCACACACGGCATGCGACTCAGAACAGGTTTATTCCCGGTGAAGGGTGGCCATGATTTTCTCTGTAATTAAATTTCTCGAGCTTGAGCTTGTTTGCATTTACCAATTAAATAAGGAAAATTAAGCTTTTATGAATGTAATCTTAATACATTACTCTTAATAAATCATATTGTCAGTTATGGAAAGATCGGGTTGAAAGGCCGGATCCCTTGTGAATCAAGTCACAAAAAGTTCAAGAATCGGCAACAGGCCATGGGCCTATTTCTTCAGTGCAGACACTTCTATTCTATTCCATTCTAATCTGTTCTTATTTGGGTCTACGCCATCGCTAGCAGAAAAACACAGGCCTTGCGTGGATGTCATTTTAGCAATCATAAACACGGCAGCCATGGAATACGAACTAAGTATTAAATCATATTTTCATGAGATGAATCGTGATGACTTGTGGGTATGCCAAAAAAGTTCCGTCTACCAAGAAATCCTGAAGTTATTTAGTTCACGTAAAATTGTTATTCGATGCAACATTTACGAGTAGATGAGACTCTCATGAAGAAACAGCGCACGCTCTTGAAAATACGTCATTCTATACTAAAAACATGTTGCGCTATAAAACATGTTGCGCTGTATATTTAAGAGAATTCCGCAATGAATTTTTGAGATGCAATTCGTAGCGATGAAGCTGCGTTTTCTTACGTAAAATTATATGTGTACCAATACTAAGGAAGTAACTGAACAGCATGAATCAAAATTTCATAAATATTCATTGAGTTTACAATATTTGACAAAGGCTAATTATAGCCAACAGAATAATTACGATGATACGATAACAAAACAATTATCATCGTAATTATTTAAATTCATGTCATGTATATAAAATGCAACTACGATAATCGACACAAATTAATTGATAATCATAGTATTAATTTTAAATTTAAACTAAATACCAATGATTGAACGAGAGTGTCTGTCTGTGTTAACAGAGACGAATTGGTGCCGCCTAATGTAATTAATTATTAAGGGTTTTATAGTTCTTCGTAGCTTTATGTTTTGTTGTGCCATTCGGTTTCTCTCAAATATGAAATCTGCAGGTTTGACTCCAATATTATTTCATTTCAATCTTCTCTCCGCCAGGCGCATCTGTTTCCACTGTATTTAACGTAAACTCTAAACTTAATAATGTCGAAAATTCAATGAACTGTATCTAGACTATAATCAGTTGAAAGTATGCAAAAATATATATATTTTTCGTAATTCATTAGTCGAATACCAGATAATATTTTACTCGTAAAAACCGACAATTTGTGGTTGAAATGGAGAAAGAGATCAATATTAAGAGAGCTACATTGCTAAACATAAAAAAGTAATAATAATAACAATACTCACGGACTCTCATAAGTCCATAGTTCACTAGGGGTTCGAAGAGCGCGGTTGCATCTTAGTGCAAAGGCCCTCCATGTGCTAGATATTTTCGACTTCGTCCGGCCCGGGACCCGTTGAATCCTGGAGGATAATGGGGTTCGGGTATCCACTTCATTTCCTGTAATTTGCTTTCGATCTTCACGAGAAGCACCTTTGCCTTTCCTAAGGCGAACCAAAACCCCGTCAGCCTCTGAATCTTCTTCAGTTTCGTTCATTACCGTTTCTATGGTCTTATTTCGCATGTCTTCTCGAAGTCTAGATTTTTCAATTGAGTTGTCATTGGGAACTTTTTTACAACTTTCTCTATGGTTTGCCACACAAGTAATCCTAGAGACACATTTTTTCTGCGAACTTCTCCTAAGAAAATTCAAATCGTCATCACCCTCGGAATCATGCTCGTCATCTGCTTCATTGTCTGGATCACTCATTTTTCTATCTTTCTTAACAGTTGATGGCACTCGGTGAAACACAGCTGATTCGTATTCGATTCTTTTATGCTCATCTCCGCAGCTTTTCTCGTGAAAATTTGCCTCTAAACATCCAGGAATTAGCTTACTTCTATCTTGTCTGCCTAAATCACATTGCTCGGATGGGACTAACTCGTTCGATGTTTTATCTTGATAACTTTTCACGTCAAGTTTACGATCGTCGATTTTAAAATCGTATCGCACTGTTGTGACTGTAGACAAAGGCTCTGAGGTTGCTGATAAATCATCGCCAGTATAATTAGGAAGCTCAAGTGAAGCTCGAGAACCCTTAGCTCCATGTTCAAAAGGTGGGATCTGCATTCTAGGATTATCCTGGGGGCGGTTAGGAGGGTCTCCGTAGGATACAGCTCTTTGCCGCACCAGGGGTGACTTCTTCACTTGATGAGCGCCAGGGTTGTCTGAGCTACGTACACGACGATACGGAGGAAGATCTCCGTGAGTATGTTCATCTTGCACGATGTTTGAATCTGTATAATTTTTACGTTGGAAAGTTTCCATTGTAAAAGTATCTATATAACGTTTTACTAAGCAATTACGTTTTCTTGTAGAGTTATCGTCCAGTAATTAGTGCTTCCGCAAAAATTTCTCTCAATGCATATAATTTAAACTGAAAAAAATGTAACACTAATTTTTTAATACTATCTATCTAAACTATCTGACATGAAATCATTATTACTACACAAAATTCAGAATTTTTATCTTTGCTTTCATTATACTACTCAAATGTATAACCAGTGGCAATAGTTACAGGAAAAGTATCTTCGCATGTGCGTAGTAAATATCACAAAATTCATATTAACGGAAGGAAATGAATTACGCTGAATATCTTCATTTGTTAATCTGAATTTATATTGACGACACTGTAGGACGAAACATCCATCACTGACATCGCTAAGAATATCACTGAGTAAAAGATTCTCGTTGGCCGCATAAGAAGCAATTTCTCAGCTACGGGACAAACATTTTTCTTAAGAACATATCTGCTCTTGTTCACCTTATCGTCTGCTGCAGCTCGGCATATCCTCTAGCAGTCTAGCATATTGTCGTACCATATTTTACCACCACTACCTGAGGTCAGGTTCGACTTCAAGTTTTGGTACCATATGCCAGTGTATACTGAAGGGGATGAAATCGTTTGAACTTTAATTCAGCCGAAAAACATAATTATCTTCTCCCAATAATCAAATAATAATTTTCTGTTATACCTTTTTTGTAATCGATGATTTTTACATTATTTTTTCTATCAATACATCTCTCCCGTTCTATGGTCTATTTTTGGCTCCGATGAGCTACAACTCATATTGATACGAAGAACATTCCATAAACGGGAATGAGTTGCGGCGTGTAGTGGGCATAACTTACATTTATACATAGTTGTAAATGAAGAAATGCATTTAACAGACAAATTGCCTTAGAAATTGAAGTAACACGTTGATTTGGCATTTTATTCGGTGTTGTTGAGCGACACCGAAGAGCTGCCTTGATTCACAACGTTCCTCCTATCCACTTTAATGTTAATGCATCACTTTGCTAGTAAGGAGATGCATCATTCCCTATAATGGCGGTCTGTGCATAAGTTGGTTCTTCTTAGAAGTTCTATGCATTTTTTCAGCCATCTGAACCTAAATAAACACTTGACACTCCTGAACAGAGACGCGTGTTTGGCTCCAACTCACTCACTCACGAGGACTGAGTCTCGGGACAGGTTTCTCCGCTATATACGAAGACGGCTGGAGAAGAGCCTCCTAGAATATTAAGAAGTGAACGGTCATCGCAATGGTCAAAAGGAGGATAGAAGCTACAGGCCCACAAGAGACGACTTGCATTGCTTGGCCTTGACGGCTACTTGAATGGAAGGATGAATTCATGTGCCGGTTAAAGAGGATTTTACACGCAGCCCACCATTGGCGAGAAACCTTTCAGAGATTCTGAATTTCGTGAGGAGCTGAATTTAATAGATAATTCTATTTTACATGCTAGAATTGTGAAAAATCCGAATTAGGTATCATTATTTTACAATTTGAATCCTACAAGCATTTTTAAACATCAGTAATTTAACAAGAATGTAAATTTTAATAAAATATTCGTTGATCGCTTGTGGTCAAGTAATGACCACATCAAAGTGCGATTTCTTCCAGGACAAAAATCAGCTTTTGTCAGTTTCTTCTTAGTCTCGAGGCCACAAAAGAAATCGACATAGATACGTAACAGATCCGAAGCTGCGTAATTGCTTGAATTAATCAGCAATGAGGGAATGTAATATTCTCGCGTATGCAGGAACACGTCTCGTATGACGAGGTTTTGCTGAGTCTGCGGGGCTCCCAAGGCCAAACACTGTACACGTGACGTATTTAAAAGCTTCTTATAATTTCTACACAGTAAAATTACATAGAATCCGTTACCTCTCAATAATTTATTGAGAATTATTTGGTTGTGCATCCGAGCCTGTGGAGTTATTTCAACATTTATGAAACTTAATTTTTTTTAATCTAACTAATCCGTTCGGATGGATCATTGTTTATAAACGGCAGGTTATTACGGTTAAGCAGTATTAAGAAGATACCAACTGGAGAATGCGCCCGATTATTAATTAGAACATGGTACAAATAAAATTTAAATCCTGCTAAAAAATTTCCATAACTAAGAGCCAACATCCTGAACTTTAAGTTGCCACAATCTTATAATTAGGTTGGATAAATTTTTTGCTCCTTGACTTACGCTCTGTTGCATCTGGCAAGGTTCCTCCACTGATAGAAGGTGTTCATGTCTGTCTCCTGAAATAGAATCGCAATAAATATTGATATTAGCTATTGAAATTTACCTAGTAAATTGAATTCGTAAACTAAAACATTTACGAAACGATTACAAATGATAGTGTCGAACCTGATAAGGATGAAGACGCCGATCCGCAGCCTAAAAAAATGCATTAAATCCTGTTGAAGTTCAATTCTTCCGGACGAAAACAATTTTAATATAATAACAGTATAATCGATCTTGGTATAACAGTAAACACTTGCACTATCGTTCATAATACGAGCTGCCATTCTCACTTACAGGACTCGACGGCTAAACTATACAGCAGCCACAGCAACCTGCCCGGGCTGCGACCTTGAGAATTACATCAAAGCTATTAGTCCAAATTACTTCCCATTTGCACACAAAAGCGCATCCATTCCCTTAACATCCGACTTACCTCACTATTTTCTTCACGCGCATTAAGCACCGGATTATTCACCTCCTCCTTTCTAGTTAGGAAGGTTATGGGGAATAAATACGTGCATTGACCGTGAATTTCTGTCACGCTTTGATGTGGTTGCCTCCTATCATTTGTATCACCTCCTTTCAGTCTAGACTAACGATTTGTTTTCTTTTCTTGGCGCATGATAATAACCACGAAATAAAACTACAGATAACCCATAATAACCGAAGGGGTAATATACGAGTACAATGCTCCCTACACACCGTACTGCGGCAGCCGAGGGCGTTCCTCATGCCCTCAGTACCGTCAAACCAACACTGATGTTCTGTGAGACCGTGAGACGTCCACACGGAAGTCTATATGGCAGATGGGCTCATGGCGTGAATGCGTTATCGCACCATATTATCGCCCTAATGTGACGCGGTAGGCAATAGAAATATGCGGACTCGGCATAAATGTTTCAATTTCAAAGCGGCTACTCTTTGTTCTGTTTGTGAGATAACCAATTGCAGTAAATATGTCATCGAGTGTCATGAACGAGAGTAGAAACATCTCTATGATGGTTAATCAGTTTATATGTTGGAAGATTTTTTCGCAAAGCCAATATATTGCAGAGAATTTACTGCTCAGAGAACTTGTGTTAACAAGTGTTCACATTAGCATTTATGCGACTTGATTCGAGCTACCATCAAAGACACACAAGTCGCCACTCAGCAGCTACCGGCCGCACTTAACAGACCGCTCGTCAATTAAAACCGTATAATACACGCAGAAGTGCGATTTGTAGGGTTCGATTTCCACATAATAATTAAAAATCTGGCTCATAAGCTCTGGAAAGTTTTCGCTCAGTTATGCTCATAAAATAGATTTTTTTCCTTTTGTAGGCTTTTCTGATGAGCGCAGTGGTGAAATTAGTGGCTTTGACGGTTACGAAAAAATCGCTTCTCTACTTATGACTTTCTACAATTTTTTTTAGTTATTTTGTACTAAAGAAGAATTGTCATGACTTGTACGGAAAATAGTTTCTTCAATAAGCTTTCAGACGCCTAATAAAAAATTTTCGAACTCAAGACAGTTATTTGCCTGCACAAGATGTGGGATAAGAAGGAAAATTCGGACAATTTAACCACCATGGAATGAATACCTGTTAAAAAAAATGCTCCATTTTACTCAACAACTTGTTACCAATAATAGTCATTATGAATGATGTGTAAAAGTACATTTAGACAGTACAGTATTAAGAAAGTTCTTGCTTATGCTGTCAGCAAAGTGGTTTTTCGGTTTGATAGTCTCACCATGCTTTGCGGACGCGACGGAACGCAGTCAGCTCCGGCGTCTATTCTGAATTCTCTCAGTTAGTGCAGTGCATGCGCAAGAAAAAATTTGTCATCGATAATGTCTCGTTAAACACAACATACCAATTTTTGCTGTATTCATGCACATGAGTTCTTTCGTGCGGACTTCGTGGCACTTTTTTCCATGTGTTCATTAAGAAAATAGGAGTCCAGGTATTTGAATAACTTCTTTTCGAATATGATCTATTCGATCATATTCGATCTACAATATTTATATATTAATTACGATGCATCACTGCGTTTAGTCCGCGACTGTTCAAGCTCTTTCTCCATCGTTTAGTTATTAAGAAAATCATTTGTAGTATATTATTTTAGGGTTAGCTGAGAAAGAGAAGATCAACTGCTGGCTCGCGTTTTGCTGCTTCAAGTTTCACTTCCAATGCTATGCAACCAAGTCTTCGATTCCAACATCGCATTAGTCGAGTGATTACACGCGCGTGCCTTCGTATCAGATCGCGGTGATGTGAAAGCTTCGCTCGGTTACCTCACGCATACTAAAGGCTGACGCCGCAATAATATAGACTTTCGGAACTCAATATATATTTGGAATCAAAATGTAATTGATTGCCAAACAGTGTCGGTGACAAGCTGTTCATTTGATCAGTCAGCTAAAAAATATACCTAAATGAGTACAATAAGATTAAAAAGATTCCAAATGCAATACTTATTTTTTATTTACACATATTAGTACAGTGTGAATATATACAAAAACATGACGAACACTAAATCGAAAATGAAAAATATTAAGTAACATCAATTTACACATCATTTGATGAAACTCTACAACAAGTTTCAACATTCAAACGTAAAAAAACATCCTGATAGCCTACATTACAAAAAGCTTGTCAGAAATTTGTTTTAATTCAGCATTTATACTGCGTTTACAAGCATGGGTAACATGTGTACTGTACATGAGTGTCCACATGACATACCAAAGCACTGCACACAAGACAGTCCTCGCCAACAGTTATGCAGACGGTTTATGGAACCGGCATTGAACATAAATAGAGTCTTAGAGTATCATAAATAACTTCAACCGTCAGAAAACTGTATAATTCATAAACCATATTATGCTGTGGATGATGTGAGGATTATTTGATCAAAGTTTTAATGTTACTTCTACAGAATATTAATAAACCTTCATGGCGATTGGGTCATTTATTTACAATCATGCTAGGATTTGATTTGGCAGAAAGACTGTCGAGTGCTCGCAGTGACCCAAACAATGTGAAAGTTAATCTAGTTCACCATCTTTCAGTCGCATTTAATAAAATAGGGAATTAAAGTAATGCATAAATAAATAGGAGAAATTTTGCCCGAATCTCATAAATCTCAATGCGTATTTTTTCAATTCCATTAGAAATACAAGTGACAGGCTGGACTATCAGGGATACAAGTAACAGGCTGGACCATTAGAAATACAAGTAACAGGCTGGACCATCAGGAATACAAGTAACAGGCTGGACCATCAGGAATACAAGTAACAGGCTGGACCATTCGATTGCTCGGATTCCTTTCTTTAATTGGGAAATTTTGAGGTGTTTGGGTAGTCGTTAAGCTTCACACATGCATTAAAGAAAATATAAATGCCACTTTTGGATCCATCTAGCATAATTTTACTAATTCTAAACCTTTAGAATTAATTCATGAAGTGTGCGGATGAAGAATAAGTTTTCACACGCGAGTTTACAAATTGTCTAAAGCTATTTAATATGCAATAAAACCCATTTTATATACATTGACAATTGTTTTATATACAATAGAGCTCGTTTTATATGCAATTAAGCTAAGTTTATATACACATCAGGATTTCCTGTGCTGGCGTTAAAGGAACCTTGCTTTGTTAAACGAACCTGCTGAAACCTTGTTTGACATCTCGCCGTTGCGCAAGATTCTGAATTAAAATTTTCAGCGACTAGGCAGCAAGTTTCAAGGAGTAGGAATTTGTAAAAATAAAATAACTTGTAATAACATATAAACATTCTGGAATTTTGATTCGCATGCATTCAACTGAATGCCTCTCATCAGAAAAATGCCAACGGGATATTGACTATTTTGAATAATAGCTAAGGAGAAAATTTAAAATTTCAACTATCTTACACACAAAAGCTATTAAAAAAAATAAATAAATAAAAACCGGTGCAATAACTGTACAATATTTATTTTGGGTGGAATAGCTAGCGAAAACTACTATTTCTACCAGCTACAAGCTGGAATCTGGGACGACAAAATCGATATTTTGGCACTTGCTCTTCATGTTCCTGCAGAAGAGTTTCTCAAGGGAGGCTGTGTTGACAATTTCAAAGCCTTTTTCACCCCCGAAGGTTGAGGGCTTCCAGTACTGGGGACTGCAGATGGGGTTCGCTATAAGTCCCTTCACACTCCAGGGCCCTCCCATGTTCACCACCGTCAAGCTCATCACAGACGGGCCGTCGTGCTCTGTGAACAGCCCTGCACAGACAAAACAATACATAGAATCCCCATGCATAATACATGTTATATATGATAGTTACTGGTTACTATAGTTACTCGTTTATAAAGAACGAAATGATTTCCTTCCATGAACCACATACATTATATTATATGATGAAATTCCAATCACTTAATAAATAAAAACCAATAATTGTTGCCTCTTAACGGTGAGCCAGACAACGTGAAAAAGTCAGTAAGGTCGCTATTAAGTCTTTCAGAAAAAAACGGCGTGGTCTCTAGCTTGACCGTTTCGTGATCTTGGCCTCTTCAAGTTTCAACAAGAATTTTAAAAGAAAGAAAGTGCCAAGTAAATTCATCACTTCTTCAATGTAAACGTTTTCATTGAAGATATGATGAATTTAAGGGGCGTTCTCTTTGATTATTAATTCTTGGTGAACTTGCGATTTAAGCATACCAATGATACAAGCACTCCTATTTAATATTGTTTTATTCAACGAAAGGGAACTCACCGACGTAGAACTCAACGGCGTCAATGTGTCCGTACAGGCCACGAAGCACATCAGCGAGTTCCTGATCTCCGGTGAGTTCTTCGAAGGACTTGAAAGGACTCATCTTAAAGCGCTTCCTGTAGGAGTTGATGCCTTGGAAGCGGAGCGCGCGTGAGTTCAGGAGCATCCTCTTCAGCACGGGTACGTTCACCACGCCGTGGTTGTGAGGTCCCATCTACAGCAGGAAGAAACTTCAGTCGTAAGAAGATGTGGTGATGTGATACAAATATGTTTGGTTTTCAATTTAGACGAGTTACTGTCACCAAGGAATGATGGAGATTCGAATAATGTTATAACGTAAGTGAAAATTTCGTTTAATAATTATAAAAATAAGACAAAAAATCATTTTAGAACCAGACTTGTGCTCGTAAGTGATTTAGGGATATGAATGAACTCTTGGGACGTGTAGTTGAATAAGCATCCCCTTTTAGCAGAAGTTTGGTCTCGCCGTGTGTGCAAGATTGCCACATCAAGGCCTAGTCACAATTTTGTTGCACTGCGACTCAGTTTATAAACTCAGAATATACGTACAGTAAGACGACGTACCTTGCCCGCGCGGTTAGAGTTGAGAGCTTGGATGAAGGTGTCGAGACCGTGAGTGAAGATCGGCTTCACTGAGAATGCCATATCCATCAAGTCATAATAAGTGTCGTTAATCTGTGAGCGAAATAAGGCGAGAAAAACTTACAAATCGAAAAAAGTTCAATGAGAACAGAGTCATCAAAAAGTTACTGAGTTAATAGTGTTGTAAGCCACAGTCACACTGATTCAGGATCTACTCGCATCTTGCATACAAATTGAATTATACATGGATGAATTTAGAGTATAGAGCATATCGCGCGTATGATTGGAAAAAATTGTATCAATGTGACTTTGAGAAATTAAAATAAAATAAAATTAATTAAATAGATTCGACATCGGAGAGTTTATAACGAAAATCTAAAAAAAAAGAGAGTTTAACGAACATCTTTTTCTAAAAGAAAAACAATCAAAACAAGATAGACACATAGAGAATAATTTAACCTAGATCATCAACATCAATATATAGTCTATTCCAGCATACGCCAGGAAAATAATACATACCGTGATGCCATCAGGAACAAGTTGATGCCAGTGATACAGGTGATCGAACTCAACGTTGATGCGATTGTGAAACTGGAAGCGAGTGTTGTGAACCACATGCGGCCTGAACTTCACGTTCACTTTGTACTGACTTAAGTGCTGCACGTAATTCTCAACTGTGATCTTGATGATCTCACCTGCAGAGCATACAGCATAATATTGCAGAATTACACTTGCATGTAATTTTTTAAATTTAATTATAACAATGACTATGAATGGTCAGATAGCCTTAGTGAAAAATATTTTCCGCTATTGATGATTTAATATGTAACAAAGTAAATCAAAACGAAAGCAGCGACTTTCGGTATGATATGGTACGATATTCAATATATATTATTTTTTCGATTCTTTAAAATAAATTGAATATTTCAAGTAAAAATTACAATTTGCGGCAGTATCTAGCTGCGTTTCATTCGTTCCAATAATTATGGACAGTGAATGTGGCACAGATTCATGAAATTTCGTCATGATTCTTAGAAACTGATTTATATTAACGAGCAAAAAGTTTTATTCAACATTTGCTAGCAAACCAGTATGTGTAAGACGCAACTATACATATAATATAAAACAAATTGTCAGCAAGAGACTGAATTTGGAATATAGAACAAATAAAGAACAATATGTTTTTCTATTATATTATAGACAATTTATTCTACATTGTGGGTAACATTATTCTGTCACTTGAGTGCTATCGAATGTTGAATAACATATTTTACTCATGATATGAATCAGTTTCTAACAACCGTAATGCAAGTTCGATGGTGATGCCAACGCACCGGTGATGATGAGCTTGGCGGTGTGGTAGAGACGCTCGTCGTCCCAGTGCGGATGTTCCTCCTTCAGCACGTCGCACACACGGTTGTGCTCTCGCAGCCAAATCGTCGAGTAGGCCTGCGACCCAAACGATATTCTGTATTATTACTCTATTTCCGTAGTGTAGATAATTATTTCGTCGTATTATTTTCTATTACTAGAAAATTTTCCGAACCTTACGTTGAAAAAGAAAGATCAGAGCGAATAGATACAGTGACGCATTCCCTCATGCATTCTAATTTGCTTCGAACGTTAATTAAGTCAAGGTAATCGAATCAACAGGCGCCAGCATTAAATGGCTAAGTAAACAACGATTGCTCGCCAGCTTGAGTCTTAGTTAAAACCTAGCCAAGCACGCAGCCACGAAGGTTATAGCTACTTCCCTCAACCCGGCATTGTGCAGCACGTCTTTTTTATCCAATGAAGAGGAATGCCACATTATTAAATTATTACTGCATAAAAAGTAACTATCGGATATATCTATTTTTAAAATTAAGTACTTAAATCATCTTATGATGAATTTATCCCAAATATACAGAAGCTATGCTCGCTTAACTAAGATTAAAAAATAATTTTAAAAATATGTTTATTGGTATGTTCCGAATGAAGAATTACATAGAATGATTGATTGCATTTCATGAATTATCTTGCATCTAAATTTGAAGGACACATATGCAAATAAAAGCGACAGATAGCAAGCAAGAGTTCAATTCTACTCCTACTGTGACGTTGCTTAAACTCAGGACATTGCTTCATGAGGAGGCCTTAATGGCACGTTTTTTCTCCTCCGATTGTAAGGTATACAGAACTTGTTACCCTTCGTTTACCAGAGAATTTTTATCAACACAGGTAAACATTGTGGGACCAAATTTAAAAGAAGTTGATGGCCTTGCCTTCCTATCAGATAACTTCGGGAGCCCAGCCAACACAAACGCCTCGGCGTCAAATTAAGACGCAAAGCATTAGGCAGGATAACAAAAGAACTCAGTATTTAACAGCCCTAATGCATGAAGACGGCACTGATGCAAGAAACACAAACAGACGGAGTATTTGTAAACGTTCGCGGCCACCAACCATCGTTCATACAGTTTCTTGAATGGCGGCATCTCCATTGCTGTTATAGAAGTCACCTATGAATGGATTATTTTCATACAGAGGAGGCTGGCGTTGAGCCTATTAATCTTTAAGAGCCAATACATACAACATCCCCGACTGAGCCAGAGAATGGATAAATAATCTAGGGATAATTATAGTTACCGAATTTAAGGTTAATGCACATTTAACTTCATACTTGAAATCTTCGACCTCAAAAATATACATATCCGATCTAGGCATAAAATTCGTCTAAAACTTGGAACCTAGGATGAATGTTGATTTCTTATTTAAAGTCCGCGGGCTCGGATTTAAAAATAAAAACTCCCACAACAATCATGAATTCAGCGGCCACCTGTAAATTTGACGTGCTGATCGACAATATTACAGTTATGGTGCCAATTTCCGGACCTGACGCCTAAAATTCTCTCCATTTTCAAATAATATATGCAAGAATTACGGATAAAATATTAGTTATGAATAAACAATTGATTTTATGAATTAAACGTTGATGAGTGTTGTATAGAACTCCGAGGCGGTCGGCAGCAGTTGTTGTCAAAGTAATTGCAGTTGTTTTGGGGCCCGCATTGTCGGGACGTTACTTACGAAAAGCCCGGGGAGTAGGGCGTAGAAGGGATGACCCAGAGCGTGCTTGCTCTCCTCAGGGATGGGGAGTCCTGGGGGATACTCCATGTCCAGGCCCTCGACGTCCTTCAGGAGAGGGGGAAAGTGCTCCCCATTCACTTCCTATGAGCAAAGTTTGACGAAAATGTTGTTAAAGGTAGGTGAAGAGCTTAAAACTTACTAACTGAATGATCTTGCTATAAGTACATGATATTTTATTCGAAAGAAAAAGTAATCATTATTGATTTCATTTGTATATACTGAAAGTAATAATTTAACACTATAACCAATTTTAGAACGGGGATCGGATTATAAACAATAAATTGTAACTCAAGTTTAAGGCATGTAACGATTACGCCCGAAGTTTTTCAGGTAGAATTTCCGCTAAATAGTAGTAACATTTCTTCAAATCCTGCAATCCCTTATTTTTTTAAGTCTACTATACATCTTGTCAATAAATTAGTATTAATTTCTTCAATATCTGAGATAAGCGCAAGGCCACGAGAGAGAAAGAAAGATCCAATATACTAATGATTTGGCTAATCTAACGATTACAAATACAAGACGAAGAACTTGACTTACCCGATACTTGAGCTTGCCGTCCTTGAAAAGTCTGATGTGCCTCCGGTGGGACTCCGTGAGACCGTAAATGTTTGACGCATCCACCTGACAAAAAACAAACAAAACGCGCTCAATATACGAAACCTGAACCTGTGCCAAACATTCAGCAATGTATATAGGAATCTCAAACACGACACAAACATGTGACGCTGGATATTTGAAACTCCAACAAGTCTAAAGAACGTGAATTATTTTTACACAAAGCAAAAGATGTCGTGACCAGCATGACGTTATTTGAATTCTCACAAAGACTATGAAAGATAATATAAACAAATATATAATCGATAAGTTTCCTATCAGAACAATTGATCATAATTAACTACACATTTTAGGCGCAGCTGTCATGCCAGAAAAATGCTTCTTATCGCAAGTTGACGCAAGAAATTTTTTTTTAATGCAAAAATCTCTTATGAATGTTGGTTAGAAATCCTTTCTATGAACGGGAATCCCTACAGAATTCACTACATCCTTTAATTTATGATATTTTAATATTATTTAATTATTTAGCTGAGTTTTTATAACGGCGAGTTAATTGATGAAAAAATAGGTCATAAATTGAATTTAACTCACTCCACCATTGCCTTTAGTGAACTGAGGTCCCTTGGTGTAGTTGGTGCGGAAGAATTGGTGGGTGAAGTGCTGTGCGTAGTACTGGAACAGCAGGTTAGTCTTGAACGGCCCTGGTATGAACGTCTTCCTCAGAAACACTTTTTGTATGACCTCGTCTACGTCGGGATACTCTTTTGGTCCTGTCAGACAAGGGAAGCCCTCTTTATTGATATTAAATCGCCGCAAAAACGCTAGCACAGAAATTCTTAGGTTGATGCTCAGTCGGAAGTTTTGCGTACATCGAGCTAAATATAGAGAAGGCATACGACGCAAATAATAATAATAATAATGTTAATGCAATGACTGACCGACCACCCCCATAGGTGTGGGACAGTGTCGTGGTGTTGGCGGTAGAGTCCTGGCGTAGTACGTCTCGTTGAAGTAAGCATCGAGTGTCGTGTACGAGTGATCGCTTTCGAAACGAACTGGCGAGTCGATGAGGTCGCTTCGACCTAAGCGACAACAAACACAATGAGGATTAGATGAAGCAGGTATAGTCCATGTGACATATTCAGAGCCGGTGTCGAACTTAAGTAGCATTCATTGAATTTCGGCACACAAATAAATGTAATTCGGAAGCTGAAATAATGCATTAAACATTGGTATTCGAAATACATTGTCATCCATTACACGTGAGTATTTTTTGGTTTTGATGCTACTCACTAAGGTAGATGTACTTCATGGCGTAGTCGCTTAAGAAGGGCACAGCATTAACCACCCTCCACACCCACAGGTCTTGGGTGAGCCACGCGTGCAGCGTCGCAGGGTCAGGCTGCAAACCTTTCCTCACCCAGCCAATCCAAGTCGCTAAACAATACAACTTATGAAATACTAATTGCAATTAATTATTACAATTAATTACAATTATTACAATTAATAATAAAAGTACAACTTATGATCAACTTCTTCAAACACAAAATATTAGGAAAACATGCTGCCAAAAATTTTTATTAAGCAGAAAATGAGTTACCCATATTTTTGTTAAGTTGGAATGAAACTTTTGATATTATTAATCATTAAGACGCCACGCAGATATAATCCATATCATTGATTTGTTTCTGGAAAAATCTTCTGATTTTTACTAACGTTGCACGACTAAGTATGTAAACTTAATGCAGATAGTTAAAAATTGACATTTCCGAAAGTATTTGCTAAAATAAAATAAAGTCAGATAAGAGATAAAAGGCTTTTTCAGTGTGGCATCTAGAACTAGACATTTCCAGCTTAATGGCTTGTGTACTCACGAGTGCTGCAGTTTGTGCCGTAATGTTCGGTGTTTGTACAGTCACAAATGTAACTCTTATCCTTAAGGCTAATGCAAACGCCTTGATTTTCGCACGGAAACTCACAACAAGGATCGTGATCTGTTGAAGAAATAATTGACGTAATCAGCTTATTCAATAGTTGATACTCTGTGAATGAGTCATATGCGATGTTCCAGATTTATGGAAATTATTTTTACACATGAATATATGTAGGAGACTGCTTGAAATGTGAATGTATTCAAAAACAAAAGACAGCATTAAAGAAAGAATAAAATGCCATCAATTTGCTTATTTTTTCCATTCACGTAAACAAAACTTGTGAGATTTTTGGGCATTCTAAAAATTTTAATTTTCACGCAAAAATTGTACTCACCAACGTTTGTTTTTACAGGATAGTCTCTGTAGTCTTTGGCAACATTTATCCATACCAGAGTAGCTAGAGCACCCACTAGGACGTGGGTCCTTCTCACTGAAAAAAATGAAGTAGTGAAGATTCCTTACACGATTAAGAACTTCAAAACTAAAAATATAAACCAAATATAAAATATAAACCAAGATATCACTAAAGATGACGAACCTGAATTTCAGAATTAAAGTCATCACAGAAAATATAAATCATTCCTTATGACGACACTTTACTCTTGGATGAGGGTATTTTTCAGATTTTATCATTTTGACCTACGCATTTAATCAAACTCTAAAAAGCAACACATCCTTCCCGTCACCAACTCTCGTAGGACATAGATTACAAACCATACAAACGTTGAGACGCAGTGCTTAAACTACATATACAGCTATATACACACACCTTAGTTCACTCACTCATGCGTTGATACCTTAAGGCGGACGAATGTGGAGTTATGACAGCTATGCTAACTGGTGCTAACAACAGGACCATTAATGTTAGAAATACTGTTCGTAATAATCATTTATTTTTTGCGCATACATTGAACCGATAAAAAACATTCTTAGATGGAATATTAAGAATGAAAGATTTTTAAACGGAATAATGTGAATGAAAGTTTCTTCATGTTTACAAATAGGTGTTATGCATTAGGTTATTATTGATAATACTGATCAATGATAATCCATTTAAAAGACAAAATTTTATGATTTTATTCATGCTCAATATCAATTTAACTTTTTTTATCATATAGTTTTTTCCTTGTGACAATTTACTTATGTACTGCCTTTTCTTTTAAGGTGTGTTATTTTTAATAAATTCTGTTGTACTTGTTGCCACTATTACATTCATATTTGGTACCTATTACGCCCGCGAAGCTTTTTTTATAGATTATATGGTTTTTTCACCTGGAAGCTTCTATTACCAAATAGCATTTTTTTCCCATTGAGTCGTGCTGTGTGGCTTCTGTATGTGAAAGAATAAAGAATAAAAAGTTATATTTGATCTTAAATATAAATGAATCTATGAGATCAAAAACAATTGAAAAATATTCATTAGCTTTAAAAACGCAGCATACTGGCGTCACTGAAGTCTCGAAGTTCTGCGATTAAGCTCCAACTCCAACGCAACAAATATAGAGTATTCAAATGGAAGTCTTAGCTATACTCAATTATAAGCCAGCAATGTTTCCTTCCCCTCGTCCACCGGATTATTTCAACGTAGCGTTGCATGCAACTTATTGTGACGCAATCTGTTTTAATGAATGAACTTATTGTGACGCAATCTGTTTTAATGAATGAACTTATTGTGACGCAATCTGTTTTAATGAATGAACTTATTGTGACGCAATCTCATTACATGATCTTTAAGTGTTTTTGTATCTTATTTTCATTGCGGTTACGATATTTTATCAATCGTTTACATTGATAGTAAGACACATTTTATTCAAATTATTTCACGCACACAATATCTATAACGACTGAGAAGCTGCAAATTTCAAGGACCTTGCATGCTAGTTTGTGGCACTGATATGCACATAACAGGCTCACGAATAAACCCATTCGCTTCATTACTGATTTCAACTTGTCTTATCCTGCAGAATGTTCCAGTGCCATTGCAAAAATTAAACGAAAACTGCGAATACGTAATATGAATATTCATTCCATCTTCACGTTCCCTATTAAAAAAAAGAGCCGCATAACAGACGGCCGACCGTGACCGGTTCATCAGTCCTCGGAACTCCGCGGCGATCTTCACATTACGAAATCGTACTCTGGAAGTAATGGCTGGCGTGCCGGTGGCGCCTGCGCAGTGCGCGGCAACCCAAGTAGGGTTGGCGCCGTATATAAACCAATGTCTTGTGACATATAAACCGTATATAAACTAATGTATCTAAGAAATTGTGTAAAAACGTGCAGGAAAATCCATTATTAATGACAAGAGAACCCAAATGTTTAATTAAAAAATTGGAGAAGTGACAGATAGAATCTCAACATCAATTGAGTGGGAAGGAACATGGTCGCAGTCAGCTCTGCACTAACGTTCTAAGAATCGCCAAGGTCGAACTTCAGCTGCCGATGCACGTACGCGGGATCTTGCGTCTGAGCAAGGGCTTCTGACAAGCATATGAGTTGATATACTCACTATAATGCTCGGGAAAGACATTTGTGTTTAGCTGCAAATAAAAGAGCCGGAAATAAAACAGGTCTGCAATGTTTCACAGACATATATCGTGACCAATGGCTGCATCTACAAGGATTCTTCGGTGTCTTTACATCTCACGATAATACGTAACGTGTTACCCGCAAGGTTAAGTGACTTGGATGAAAGATTTCCTAATAGTTTTAAATTTATATACAACAAACATATTGATTTCACATATCCAATTTGCTTGGAGAGTTGATCATTTGACCCTGTAGGTGTCTTATGCTTATCGAATGCAGGCGATACCCAGTTTAATTTAACCCTTAATTCGGCACAACAAGGTGCGACGGTGCGCTTAGACGCACTCGGAGAAATGAGTGAAACTTTGTCCAAATGTTTCACTTCTTGGCCCTGATGTAGATCATCCACACCCAATTTATACAAATGAGTGTATCAGTACTACGTGCAGAAAGTGTGTCACTATTTGGACACTATGACCCATTAGTATTGTGAGTGTGGAGCGGTTCTCCTGTCGCCTCGCTGTGGTCTTATCTAGCGCCATTATCCGCTGACCTTGGTGGCACAAATTAGACTTGGTGGAACTCTCGCCTGATCGGAGAGCTCGCTTTGCCAAAATTCCGGCATTCATCATATTGATCAATAATTGATGGTAATTGATGTTTGTCAAATTGATAATTTTGATAATTTAACGTCATAATAATGATAATTTGATATAATAATGATAATTTGATATAATTTGATAATTTAACGTCAATCGATCGATAAAAACTCAAAATAAATTAGATTTTCTTGGGTTTGCCTAGGAAAAATATAAATTTAGTATTATTCTTGCGTGCCAAAAATAACTTTAATAGATGAACATAACTTATGATATCATCACTTATTTTTAATATTGATATCCATTCAAAGACAATTGCACTCAGAGCTCAATGACATGACAGAGTTACAATGATATTAGCATGAGCTTCTGAACATCTCCTCTGTTCAAGTGTGCACAGCTTCATTTCGAGAAGTTATTTACGTACATTTAAAATCTGTAAGAATTAATACTAAACGGAACTAACTCGGACCGCGGTTTGTAGCACACAAAAAATACAACAAACGTGATAACCTACATAATTTAAAACCGGACAGAAACGGAAGATCTATGTTTTTGGATGGCCCTGTAGAAAACGTCGCTCCTGACTTTTTCAGAACTTAGCGAGATCATGGCTATACGAGGAGGTAACATCGATGGAAAAGCTTGCATCTAGAATGAAATAAACAGAAGAATGAACTTTTTCTGTCTGAAATTAAAGGGTGCTCATGGCATTCGGTGGGCAGCCATTATCACGGTGGCTTTAGCAATATTGACAGGACATTGTTTATATTATTACGCATAGGCCATATATCCTGAAGGGTTCGGAGCTGAAAAAATGATGCGTACAGTTCCAAGGCTAAAGAAAAAAGATCATTGGATGGTTGGCCATCGGCCAAAGATAATTAATTCTCAACTCTAATGGAATTCTCTAAACGTGTTTTCTTGCCATGATGCACCGACTCCGACTGCCTTAAAATCTTTTTGGTTAAACCGCATAGCTTAGCTACGTACTCGTATGTTATCAACTCTGCTTATCCAATCTATTTCAGCACACCGACTTAATGAAAATAAAAACTAATAAGTTTATTTATTTTATAATTGGGGGAAAAATATTTTCATATTAGAATGTAGAAATCACAATTCAGGCAAATTATCTCATTGAAAGTCAAAGTACTTATTATACATAAAAATACTCGTTCATGACAGATAATTTAGCGTGCCTAATTGCTACGTGATATAAGTACTACACGGCTTGATGAAGCCGAGGTTTCGTCAAGGTGGACCGGTTCATAGCAACACGGTCCGTCAAAACACTCCCTAGTTGGATGACACGACTTCGTACTGTACCTGAACGCTGTACCTGTCAGGGTTTTGATTCTTTTTTGATTTTTGGTACCATAAAGATGATTTGCTGAATATTTGAACCAATGGACATCGAAAAATTCTAAATTCATACATGCCTTCCACTATCATAAATTAACAACGTCGATTATTTCAACAATTGTTGTCAGGGTTGTGATTCTGTTTTTATTTTTGATATCATAAAGATAATTTGCAGAATATTTGAACCAATGAACATCGAAAAATTCTAAATTCAAACATGCCTTCCACTATCATAATTTAACAACGTCGATTATTTCAACAATTCATCTTTTATTACTGCTACTGCACAATAATCTCGAAAGTGTATGGAAATGGTACGTTGCTTACTAGAAATCTAGTAAAAAATTTTTATTCTCAGTCTTGTTCACTCTCTTGGTCTGTAAATTCTGTAAATCAATACATATTCCAATCATTCGCTCAATTATTTGATGTCATATAAATAATAATAAGATGTCCCAATGATACGAAAGTTCATAGAATCTCACTCAAGTTGACTTGATGATATGAATTTGAAATCTTGAATGCCTTCCAAGTCACTCACCTTTCGTCAATTCCATACTTCGCAAGTACATGTAACTTCACCACTATAACCGTTGATTCAAAATATGTTCTTTCAAAAATAATTTCAAACAATGAAACTATTCAATTTGATTAATTTATATGATACGTCTAGCTAATGCTAATAACATTAACACGAATTCAGAGCTCTGACCACATAACGACCAACTCACGTCACCGACTCAGCGCCACTGAGCTGTGTTGTAGTCTGTCCCGGGGTTAGACGCTTATATTTGTAAGGTACTGGGTACCCCCGTGCATTTACTGGGCAACGTACGGGGAATTCCTACATTCATTCATTGATTTCAAGTGCGACGTCCAAATACCCTAGAAAAACTACATAATTTTCGTCAATTCGTGCTTGGCCTTCCGACAAAATCGGCAAATCGTTTGACGCAAAGGTAATAAGGATCCCTGTGCAGCTTCCGATCACCTGTAGAAGTGTTCAGTTTCTGTGTGGATGAGAATATTTGATGGCAGAATGCCTATAAATTTCTCCAATAAACTTGCACTCCCAGGTAGAGCCCTCAAATTCGTGACTTTTTAACCCATCATGTAATCGGGAACAAGTTGCATTCAGGCTTTAAGTTAGAGTTTTATTTGCAAGTTTCCATCAGACATCAATTAACCAATGACCAGCCAGAAACCTAGGACTCACAGAACGCCAGAACTCATATTTTACCCTCACACTAAAAAATTCCAATTCTTGATGCTCCTCACTAAAGGTAGTTTCGATTGATATTTTTTCCGATAACCTAAGATCCGATTGTGAAGTCATTCCAAATGAATGTAGATTTCACTAGTGGATAAATATTCTACATGAAGGTTTTTATTCATAAATCATGTAGGGTTAGAAAATTACAGATGCCTCTGGATGCGATTACTGATTGTATGTAGATCTGCCGACGACAGGAAATGAAATACCACAAGCCAAAGCTTTCTTCGAAGTCGCTTCTCCAAGAACCGGTTTTTTCGGCACCTTTGCTACCGAAACACAGGAAGGGTTAGCTGCTTGGTTATTATGGGGAGAGTTACGGGGTTGACCTTGCACTGCCGACCCGATCTATGACAAACTAATGGAATCCCTCACCTTTCACGGGTGTTATGTTCCAGACCTCGTTCCGATAGGAGAAATGCGCGATGGGGAATTGATCGACTGATAGTATTTATTAATGTATGCTAGTAACCTTCACTCTACTGCCGATCGCGCTCCTTAGAAACCGGCAGAACAGTGAAGACCCGCAAATGATTAAACTCGTTAATATCTCCTGAAAACCCGCATTGAAGTGGAGCCACGGAAGGTGTAGTGTGATATAAAGAAGGATTACTGTACCACTCATACATGGGAATATTTATTATCTATAAAATAGTTACCCGTAGTTAGATAAACATTTGGTGTTATTATTTCAATTCATAATCATTTACTTGTATCATAATTATTGTGATTTTTTATTCCAAAAACACTTTGTGCTATCTTCAAATTGTTACTTAATATTTTTAATGCATGCTGAAATAAATACTATTCGCCAATTGATTTTATGCGGTCTCTAATAATTACGAAAAAAATGTTACTGTTAATACTTCAACAAGCCTACAATAAAACGCATTACGCATGTAATAAGGTTAATTTTATTAATTTGATGAATTAATCGTTTATATCATTTTATAAATTTAACAATTAACTGATTTATTTATAAATATGATCGAGACTAAAGTTTGAATGCGCAATAAATCATTTATACTCGTGCAAAATATGCAATAGGAAAATCGATTTCGCAATAGACCTCAATCGACGAGCGATGCGTCGGACTCTGCTGCCATTCTCACCGAACTTAAATGCCGGACGACAAGAACTGCGCGCACGAGTCTAGGGGGGATTTTCCCTCCCAATATAATGCTCTATGGCGTCAATTTGGTAATTGGTAGATTAGTGGTATGAACTCCAGCCAGAGAAAATTCAGAGTACTCATAATTGCTGTTTGACGGGAAAATTTCTTGTGTAAAGTTATCGGGTACCAAATTAAACAATTAAATTCTAGAATATGATTTCCGAATTTAATTGAATTTCATTAAATGTTATGTATACTAACATGCTGCTTTTATATTCAATCAAACTTGATAATTCAAATATAAAACCCTCAAACTATACAACTTTAAATTGCAGACTAAGTCTCTACAAAAGACGTTTGTCTAAAATTAGTAGAGGAAGCGAGGCGGTTCTCCACTTTCCATGCGGTACGTGGGCGCGCGGTCTTGCATCAGACTCAGACCTGAATGACGTCAGAGTCGCGCGTCTCAGCTCCACCAATGAACGAACGTTCGCTAATCTGACCTCACAGACGCACGTGTTCCATAAGGGTGGTGCACGCTGAACTTTATTAGTCACATCTACGGAGAATGGAAGATTTATTCAGTGTATGCCAAGGATTTTGTTCTTTTAGGCTTTATCGACCATTTGAAGGGATTAAAATTGTTGTAACAACAATCCATTATCCATCTCAATATAACTACATGCTATTTATTAATATAGCATTTATTACAAGCGTAGTGACTAAGGAACTGAGCGACTACGCACATCAGGAAAGTGTTTGTAAGCTTTATGCGAATTATACTTAATTATTGTTTGGACTTGATTTTCATTCTCTTATATAATTTCAAATTGAGTAGAATTTAGTCGTTCCAATTTGATTTGCTTCTCTAAGCCATTCGCAATGAAAGCAGCGTTTGTGGTATAAACAATACTAAAGTGCAACAATTAATGAGCTTCTTATAATAATTACCGTACGATTTTTCAACACAAAACAGTTTGAAAATCGTTTCCTGATTAAAAAATTTATAAAATCCAAGCACCGATTTTCAAACCTTTTAATATAATCGATTCCGCTATATTTTTGCAATTGTTGTTTTTTCGGGGTAGCTACATAGGGCATATTTAAGGCAATCCTTTATGCCGGGAATTGTAGCCGATATTCGACAAAAATAGCGCTATTGAACGTCCTCATTAAAATGACTCACAGCACTGCGTCTATTTTTAGAGCAGTCCATTCCGCCCACACCCTCGGGCGCCTCCTTCCGCCAGGGCCGAGTTTCTATTCTCGCTGCTGGAATCCCGGGGACTTGGTGACTCACGCAAAAATGAGTGCGTTTTCGATTAGAAAATTCGAAAATTTTCCTTGATGCCCTTTGTTTTCTGACAAGAATCGTAAATATGTTGAATGAGTTAATAGATATTTGAAGTTTTCACATTTCGAGGCGAAATTACTCTATTTATGTTAGAGAATCAAAACCTAGAAATTACGCATGATCGGTGTGACTCTTATGAAAAATTTACAACAAATACGATAAATTGTTAATAACAGTCGAAAGATTAAGTTCTTTTAACTGTCATAGAATAAGCCACAAGAAGAATGATAGCCAATTATTTCAGCATTCACCTGGAATGCCAGTGAATGATATGTGTTATTATTTGCATATATATTTTTCAAGCAACACTGGCTTGTATGAAAAACCTTTCCCTCTTTATAAACTTTATGCCATTCATAACTGTATAGCAAAAACCCAACCGTCAAACCAAAACGCATCAGGATAAATTTTCCTTAGAAATTTATATATCAGCCTTTGTACTTAATAAAAATCTAATTTACGGGCCGGGAAATATCGAAGATTTCAAAAACCAGTTCACCAAATAACAATAAAAAACAGAATCAATATGTTAGTGAGTAACAAATGATTATATGGTGACGTACATTGCAGCCACACACAATGACTGCGACGTTCTTATCTCGTGTTATGGGCGAGCAATAGAAGACGAACTACTAAAATCTCGCGCCATAAACTTACGCGCGCGTCTCCAACCCCAAGGCAGATAGTAGCTTTGGAATCCGGTGCCGTTGGCGATAAGGTGTGACATGAGCTGCGCCCTGACGCCTCGTTTGATTTAGCTTTCATTGAACTCTCATTATTGTGAATTTTGAGTCGATCGTAAATGATAAAACACTAGCTGCATCTAAAATTAATTATGCATTATGCAACTAAGATATGATTGAAAGGTGTATACTATTTACGGAGAAGGAAAATTTATTGGTGCGCTTATTGTGAGCACAAACCCGACTAGATGCCGAAAGAAATAACTGTGTTAATCGAAATTAAACTTATATTGGGTGCTAAGCAAGCACATGCAATTATTGTGATTCGATGCAGAGTGATATCGCTTGAGCATGAGGTTACAGGCCTTGTGCCTTTGCCTCACCTATTTAATTCAATACTCAACAGCTTATCAGGTAGCAGAGCTTTTACCACTAAAGTCACGTGGCGTAAAAGAATTTCTCAAAGGAAAAGTACCTTAAGCGCACGGTTCTTGCAATGAAGATAACCATGGACAGTGTTATATTCATGACGGTGAGCGACCGCCGCAAGATAAATTGGGTTTCTTTGATTATGAAACATCAGACGATGACGTGACTAACGGAGGAACAGATTCAGGCTTGGTGTCCATGCATACAAGCATTTTCTCGTGGTCAAAACGGATGGAGACTTACATAAGTTTCCGGTAGTCTGCTCATGATGATGCTTTCGGTATGCGCTAACGCATTTCAAGCAATTCCAAGCACACGTCGAAATGTCGCGAGAGAAAGAAAAAACTACGGAGGAAGAGAAAAAAGCCTGATGTCAAGAGTTAACTTGTAAAGTAGAGAATATATAATTAAAAACTCGTCACGGGCAAGACTAAGGTCTCGTTAACGTAAAATAATGAAGAGGATGCAGAAGAAGATGACCAGGGAGCGTCCGGTGGATAAGTTATCTCAGAGACTTCACAAAGATGGCAAGAAACCCCCATTTTTGGCCATTCTATGGGGCCTGCTTCACCCGATAACACTGAATCTGAAGGTGATAAATAAGAAGTGTTCAGTGAAGGAGAGATGTGCAACAGCTAAAATATTGAAGGCTGCAAACTAAACTTGAACAGCATATCTCCTCCGAGGCATGGGGGCGTTTCCCAAATTCTGACGAACGGTGAAGGCGTGGGTACTGATGCCATGCTGTATGACGAGCCCTTCAACTACGGTCTTGGTCGTTTAGACGATGATGAATATTATGGATCAAGCTGGTCATTTCCACCGCTCGAATTGGCTGCACATCCACGATTTTATGAAATAGATGTCAGTTCTTCACATTA